TCAAATATTGAAGATTCCGTACCAATTAGACGGTGAAACTTTAAATATGGCCCAAATTTTAGTAGTTAAAAGTCTTTATTTTAGCTAACCTCTTATAACAACTATGTATTATTACATCCGTTTTGTTAAGTTAAGAATACAAGTCACGAAAATATTGGCAAATAATGTGAGAGAAAGCTCGCAGCCATATACAAACATTATCGGTAGGCGATATCGATGCAGGTCGATATATGTGGGTAAAAGTTTTCGAGTCATTGGCGGTAGGTACCCATCAAAATACGACCTTGGCACTGACCCCAAATTTTTAATGCGTACACCTTGTACGTTTTGCTTCTTATTTGGGCCACTTGACAGTAGATTATGAAGGACTTGTTTCGCTGGGTCTTGTTGCTTTTTTTTTTCTTAAATGTCAGCAATAAAAATTTTTGGTTGTTAGCAGAGAATTCAGAATCCAAAAAGAAAATAATTATCCATTTCAGACAATGCCATCTCACAGTAGGTAATGTCAACATAACAGACACTTCTGACAAGAATACTTCTACATACGAGAATTGTTAAGCATATTTTTTATTTATTAAAATTTTGAGTTTTGAATAATTTTGGGAAGGTTTAGAAAACAATGAAAATACAAAAAAAAATTAAATACAAACTTTAATGCCTTCGGGAATATTCAATAAATCTATGGGGAGTGAGTCAGAAGCCTAAATATTTTGCCATAGTTCCTTGTTTTCGATTTGTAGTTTCCAAAAGCGTAGGAATACAAAACTACATTTTTCGTACTTTTTATGCTGCTAAGTTTACGATAGGCTCGTATCTTGATTTTTGCGAAGAATTGGAACAATTTTTTTTGTATATCAAAGAGTGGTTCACAGAGATTAAAGTATTGAATGTAATTATATGTTATTCGCAATAAATTTAGAAAAAACGCACCCTGCTAATCGCAATTATTATATTATACCATAAAGTGAACGAAAAAAAAGACATATTACCGCAAACCATCCTACGCTATCGAGTAGTCCGTAAAGTAATAATTATTTTGTTCCGCTGTTAAATAATAAATTAACGACTCTCTTAAATAGTAAAAATAATTTCGCAATGCAACGTTCGCGCGTATTCCAAAAGCGTATTGCAATAAATCGCACTGTAAAGGTACCTGCATGCCGCGTGAAAATTTCATTTTCTAATTCAACTCACTCCCGGCATACCAATTAACGATCGTTTGCCAACAGAGATTCGGTGGTTTCCTAATTTCGTCACTCGAACCTGAGCAAACCTAATAATCATTTTAGTAATATAATAAAGTTAAATACTGCATACAATAATTATTAGGATGGCGATTATCAACACACAACCAGCTGAATTTATGAAATATTGAGAACAAAAATTAACAAAAAAAATCACATATAAAATAAGAAGAAAAGCCCGCTTGTCACTTGATTTTTTTTATGAAAATCATTAACGTTTATACAAATATTTCATTCAGCGGTTACGATAATGTTAAAATTATTAAATATAAGATATCGGTAAATTAATAGAAAATTAAACATTGGATTTTGTGTGTTATCAGATCTACGGAATATTCATATCAAAATGAAGATATTATAAAAGCGCACACGGTCTGATCAATATATATATATATATATATATATATATATATATATATATATATATATATATATATATATATATATATATATATATATATATATATATATATATATATATATATATATATATATATATATATATATATATATATATATATATATATATATATATATATATATATATATATATATATATATATATATATATATATATATATATATATATATATATATATATATATATATATATATATATATATATATATATATATATATATATATATATATATATATATATATATATATATATATATATATATATATATATATATATATATATATATATATATATATATATATATATATATATATATATATTCTCACGTATTGATTCACGGATGGAAAAATGTGATGACACTATATTCCGGGATATCATCCGTTCGCTCGTTGAACTCCGACTGGAATCCTCACTCAGTGTTCGAAGTGTTTTCGGAGCGCGAGCATTGAAGATGCCAAGTGAGATTTTGGCGAAACGTCTGCAGGATTCCAGTCGGATGCAAAATTTGCAGGATTCCAGTCGGATGCAGGATTCCAGTCGGAGTTCAACGAGCGAACGGATGATATCCCGGAATATAGTGTCATCATATATATATATATATATATATATATATATATATATATATATATATATATATATATATATATATATATATATGAATGAATCCGAGCCACACGGATTTGGAAGTAATCGGATGTTTTCGGATATATTTACCCGAAAAACTAACGTTGCGCTCCGCTCGTGTCAAATAAACTCGTGAGTCAAATGTCGTTTACCGCACTTGTTGCATAATATACTATAGTAAGTAGATAACTAAATAGGATGCCAGAGAGTAATGACCTTCTTACTAATTCCTAAAATAGCTAAATGTTATTAATAAAATGAATAAAATTAAGTAAAAATATACATGTGCTGTTCGTACATGCATGAACATTGAATGTTATGTACAGGGTGTATGTTTATATTTTGCACAATACCGACAGCCAAATCTGTAAGAATTTGAAAATAAACTAAAAAAAACTGATAAAAAATGATTTGCAAATTTGTAAAAATGACATAACTTGCATTGTTTTTAATGCAATATTTTAATTTATTCGAAAATAAATGTTCTTCCTGATTTCAATAATATGAAGTTTACGTATATTATCTTTAGCTGGTTTTCCAATATTTACTTTTAAATGATTGCAAATTTATCAAAATGACATAACTTGCATTGTTTTTAATGCAATATTTTAATTTATTCGAAAATAAATTTTCTGTCTGATTTCAACAATATGATGTTTGCCTATATTATCTTTAGCCGATTTTCCACTTTTCACTTAAATTTTAATTAAATTAAATTAAAATCTATATAGCCAGCCTGTCGAAAATAATTAATACAAATAATTCAAGATTAGGATGTAGGTATGGTATAAAATATAAACAAAAACCCTGTATATTAATATATAAGTAAATGACATTATATATAGAATAAATTCACAGGACGCTGTAAATTCAATATTTTTGGTCGTCCACTATGACATCGATTTAACAAAGAAAAAAATATCTCGGAATTTTGCGGTTTTCATTTTTCTCACGGGCTCTCGCGGACCAAAATAAATTAAATTAGAAAACGGAGTGCCGTGCCTATTGCCATATTTTCACGGTTAGAAAAAAAATTGGCCGCGACATTAACCGTTTGATCGCGGTAACGTGACAAACAGCGCTTAGGAAAAAATTTTCTCCTAACAAAACATTTCACCCGAGGAATTCGAGTGAAATTGATTGGTGATGTGCTAACCGAGTCGCAACTGATGGTCGGGACCAATTTGCGTTCGATTATTCTCTCGTAAAATTTTATTATCGACATATAGCATGGGCGAGAAGAAAAACGCTTTCTTAAACGATCCGGTGAACGTCAGCATTTTCAGTGCCGTGAAGGGAGGTTTAACTCAAAAACAAAAATAGTTTCAGTTCTTTGAAGAAGGCGAAACATCAGCAAGTTCAATTTATCCAGATGATTTGTAAATAATAACAGTTAGATAATTAGCGACTAATAGTCGGGAAATTATGATAAAAACATGTAACTTTCCGTTACTTTCCAACAAATTATATATGCAGTTTAAAAGAGAAGAACTTTACTTAATTAGATCACCAATATAAAAAAAATTGGCTTTAAAATATAATCAAAGAATAAAGGAAGATATTGAAAATCTATTACAGTCACCCCATTCAATATCAAACGGACTCGCAAAAAGGGTGATCGAGAATGTGCCATTTTTCCATAGAGATTTGCTATAAAAACGTCCATATTTGCCGACCCAAACGTTCAGTACATTACGGGAGAATACAGAAACTTTGTTTTTAATATAATTACATATTCTATAATAACATATTCTATACTATTGTTTATTGTTAAACTTACAAGCTCTATTATTTTTAGTTAAGCGCAAGCCTGATTACTTTTTGAAAATAACAAAACAATAATAAGAGAAAGAATATAATTTAAGAAGGGAAAATAAGGTTCAGTTTCTAACCCACGGTTGATATTTCCGTTAAATTAATAAATTGGGAATGTGAGAGAAAGGGAAATTACATGTTACACAATAAAATACCAGCGAAAAATTGATCAAAATATAACAACGGTGTGCCTTTTCTTTATTTTACTAAATAACACGCAAGCAAGAACTAATAATGTGATACACCGAGGTATGGTATGTACTAAAAGAGCAAAATTGCCAAAATTTGAAAAAGAAATACTCTTGGAATGATTTAAAGTAAAAACTTGAAAAATAAATTTTTGCGTAACAACGCTGTTTTTTTATAATGGCTAAAATTTATGGCAACCGGCTCCTTCGTGTTTCACGTCCCTTCAGAACTCCTCAAATACTCTATCTATTAAATAAAATTATTTCTTTAATCGGTTTGTTGTTTAAGTATTTGTAAAAAATATTTAAAGAGGTATTAATGAAGTGATTATATTTCTACGAATAAAGAAAAAACTGTTTCTCATGTGTTTACATCAGACCCGTACGAAACAGCAATTTACGATTTGCGAAACGTCATTAATTTATTGTGAAATCCAATGTAATAATTATTGTTTTCTTTCTTATACTTATTTCAATTTTGCTCTTATGCTTACCGACCCCATTTTTGTTATTGTTATCGTTAAAATTGCGGATCGCCGGGTGTTGCGTTTTAATTTATTTTATCTATTTCCATCAAAATTTAAATATCTAACAATTCATCTCAGATGAAAACAAACAACATTGTACAATATTCTCGAGACAAGTATTATAGTACATCTTTAAAAATATATTTTCCGCGTTTTCCGATGCAGTTTAAATCGCACTTACCAGTATCGTATTCCAACGAGTAAAGCAAATGAATCACTTTGAAAAACTGTTGTATAAAGCTTCAGGCGCGAGTATATAGCCGTCCTACATCCCCACAACCGTTGCTAACCTAGATTGGGCACCTCGGTCCCCTTCATGCCCCCCAATTTCTTGCGTCTTCTTTTGCTCTCTTGTCCCGGTGATGCTACTACCCGTCGCATTGAAAAACTAGCCGCTCTCCGTAGTCAGAAGCTTAATGTCATAACGGAAACTTACATTACCAATAAGTATCTGTCTCTACTAAACTGAACAATTTTTAAAGCATTATTCCAAATATTAATATAATTTGTAGAAACTAATATAATGCTGAATATAAATAAGATGTTGTTTTTGCAAACCCTTTGCCATATTACAGCGCGGAGTGCCGTTCCTCAAAATTTGCTTTTGATTTTTTGGTTTCGGACTCGTTTTGGGTCAGAAACAATGTTCACCATAAGGAACTCTAAAGAATCATTTTGGAAATGCACTTTGTTCTAGTTCTTTGTATAATCGCTTTTAGAATCCGTTTCTATATTCTGATTCCGATGAAAGTGAGAAAATAACCGACAAGTTGGCCGTCACAAAGCCAAGAATGAAATGAGAAGACTCGTCTTATAATTTGAGAAAAAGAAAGACTAGCACCAACTTGAGTTTCTAGATAGATTCTCCAAGTTTGCAATACCAGTTAATTTCAGAAATAGTGCCAGAAGTATATCAATGTGTTATTGCATTTTTGTGTAACTATATTAAGATAAGCAATAGTACTACTCATTTAAAAAATAATGCTGTATTAAACACAAAAAAAAAACTCAATTGAAAATAAGTATACTTAGTACCACAAACAAAGTGATATTTTGTAAATCTATCTGAACTCTTACAAATTTAGCAATTTTCAAAAGATCTGTTCACCGACAAAATATGCTGGTTTTTCAAAAATTTTCCTAAGATATCCGAAAAAGACTGTCTTTTTGTCTTTTAAATTATATAACGTCAAGAGTAGAATGAAAATACTCGTCTTATTATTCCAGCAGAAGAAAGACTAGCATTAACTTTTCGGTTTCTTGCTACAAGTGTCCAAATAGTTAATATCTCAAATAGTATCAGAACTGTGTCAACAAATTATTTATTTAAGAAATAACCGTGTATTCGGCAGAAATTAATACATTAAAGTCTGTTGAAAATAACTATATTACTACAAAATGATATTCTGTGGAACTGTCTTGACCCTTACAAATGCAGCAAGAAATTTTAATAACATAAGACTTAAGTTATAAGTGTTGGATGTTGTCAGTATAATACGAATGTAAAAATATAAAATTATCTTAGTATAATCTTAGTAATAATGTTAGATAAATAACAAATATTTAAACAATAACAAACAACGAATACGTATTAGAAGATATCACAAGAAAGAAAATCCTTAATATTGTAATAGGCGAGGCGTAGCAATTTGTTTTTAAGACTGCATTTGAACTGTTTGACTAACTGTGTGCTTCAGTTCGATAGGCAGGGGCATGCCGTCCTAATACAGATTCGATATAGTTTTGCTATTACTTAGTTTTTTTTGAAATTTTCGTCATATTACTTTCCCATTTAAGACCTGATATTACAAGGATCCCAAGATAGCGTTGTGCTGAAGTTCTGTTGATAGTTTATTATTGAGGATATAATTTAATTTGAGTTGTTTGGTTCAGTCCTAGACTTCAACATTTAAATCTTCCTATAGCTTACTATTTGTGTTCCGATTGGCAAAAAGTTTTATGTTGTCAGCAATATTAGATAATAATGGTCATAATGCAGTGCGTACTAGGTGCTTGTTTCACATTTACTCATTACTTTAGAGAATTATTGATAGTTGTCCGCGTACTCCAATATGCTCTAACTTTCCAATTAATAAGTCGAAAACCTTCTCATAATCCACATAAACCATGTCAGTGGGAAGGAAGTTGTCATAATTTTCAGTTGTTTATACTGTTATTGCAAAAATAATTGTGTATCGACACAAAGTTCGCAGCATGGTTGGTCAATACAGTTAAAAAAAAAAGCCAAGTCGCTTTTTGCGGCTTCAAGGTGCGGTGACATATGCCTATCGACTAATTTTCGATTGGCACGATCACTGTCACTATCGAATGACGCGCGATAATGATACCTTGCAGAAATTTTTCTGTATACTGTTAGATTCTCCGTAGATTAGACTTTGTTATTCTGTTGGTCTGTCCCGGGTTTCTAACGAACTGTTCAATTAACAGTCCGTTCACTAAATCGATTTCTGAACGTAGGTGAGTATTAGTTATAGCAAACGAATAAAATAATTTTTTAATGTTTTTTTTTCCTATTTTTAAATGTTTTTGCATTCCGACTTATCGCTTAAATTTTACAAAATTCTATTTTGTTTTTTTTCGATATGTATGGTAATAGCTAAGATCTTACTGATAATCGTCTTTTCCTTGTTATATTCAATTTTTTAATCTTCAATAGGTAAACCTACTTTTTTTTCTTTCATGAATTTGTCAGTTCCCATCTTTTAATACAAAATTCGCTCATCTTTGTTTCCTTCGTCAATTTGTTAATCCATTTCTCCGACATCCGGTGCAAAAATTAATTCGAATGAGACGCACTTTTCCAGATGCCGGAAATCGTTAAAACTTATATATACTTTTTATCGGCTTTAATTTTTATTTTTCGTAAATTGTCGTGCACTTTTGCAAAGCTTTCCGTAAATGAATGAATAGCGTGCATAGGAACTACACCAAATAAAACAACACTTAACAAATAATAGCAGAACTGTTTTATGAATAATGAATACCTTTCACTAAAATAAATAACGACTTATTTCGCTTCTCCTACCCGCTTTTTTTAATATTTATAGTATTTACTTGAATTTCCAGCGGGTTATATAGAAGAGGACCGAGACATTTAAAAAAAAAATGTCTATTATTATTTTACAACAGCGCGTTGCGTAAGAGTGCGAAGACCTAAATCTTGACAAACGAAATTTATTCAACTTAATTGCGCATAGGCAAATGCTTTTGTCTAAAAAAGAATTGCGTTAATGTTGTTAAGAAGCGGCGGCACGATGATTACAATTAAAAAGCGGCAAAAATCGCCATTTTCAACGAAAAAGAAACATTCCCGCAATTAGTATTCATAAAGGAAACGCCTGTTTGTTTTGGTTTGTTTGCGCAATGTCTCGGAGGATTCTTTTAAAAATCGAAGGAAAAGTTATATCCAACATCTCGATCGTGCACTGAAAAGGTCCGCTGATAATCTGAATCTTGCTATAGAATCAAACCTTTACTTTCATTCGAACTTTTAAAGATCATAATCGACGACTAAAACCATAGAGAAAACGAGAGAGTGATGGAAAAAGCGAGAATAGTCAGCTCATCATTTATATTGCGCCTGTAGCGCATTTCAGACGTCCCAAATTTGAACAAATTATTGATCAAAATGAACTCGCAATGGATATAGAAAACTGCAAAACTGGATATTTTAAAATTAAGTTTCCAATTTGTTTATTATTATTAAATCTTAAAACGTATCCTTTTATGTATATAGCTGTTAAGTTTGTGACATATTGAGGTAAATAAAATTCCTAAAGAAATTTTATTTGATTTCAAAAATTCAATCCAGTCACTTTTTAGGTTCATTATGTCTGTAAAGTATACATATTATGTATGTACCGGGTGACCAATTAAAAGGGCAGTTGGTCTATCTGCTGAAAATTATATTTCAATTTCTACAATGTCCACCAGAAGGCGTAGCTTTCTGGAATTTTAAATTTATAGTTTTATTGAGAAATAGTCTTATCTTACATTTTGCCAAAATGGTCAGCTCATCTGAGTGCGTCATTGTTTAATATCATTGCATTTTATTCTATTGTAATATTCAATTATATGGAATGAAAATTAAATATTAGATACTTTAAATTTAATGTTGATATTTTAACAGTAAATATTATATATATTTTGCTATATATTATACGTACATACGATATTGTAATAAATAAATAAATAATAAAATCCATATCGATATGTTTATTTCTTCATTTAACAAGGGCCCTTTTTCAATGTTCAGACGCACCCACCACTTGCCCTGAAATAAAGCAAAAACCATTTAACGTAAAAGAATCTAATTTATCCTAACTTTGAAGCAGTGTTTGCAATTTTATTTTACCTTGTTTATTTTTTTTATTTCATAGTCTTAGTTTTAGTTGTATTTTTACTACTTCATTCAATTTTTTTGGCAACTATTGCTTGAAAAATAGTTAGTCCTGGAACTCACCTTGGCGCTGATGAAAATTGTTTTATTACTTTTCTCTATTGCCAAAACTACAAAATTGCTGTAGACTTGTCGCGACCTTTACTGTGTGGGCGGGCATAATCCGCACAAATTGTTAATTTTATCCGCAATAACGGACTCTACGTTTTTTGACAATGGAATTAATTTCTCGCATTTTATGAGTAGCAAATCATGTATAGTGTATAGGAATAAGTTTCGAAATAAATAATTTTCTCGGTTGTTAACCTCGATGATTATTTGGAGACACTATCAACCTGTACAGTAAGTCCCACATATCCCGACATATGGAATATAAAAAGGTAAAATATAGTACTATTTCTTTCAAAGTTTTTTTTTATTATATAATTTTATTATACAATACAAATATGGGATCGGATATTACTTTCGAATTGATTCCTCATAAAAGATGGTGATATTTATTGCGTATAATGTAGGGTATATTATACAAAGCTCGTTTGTGAATAAATGGAAACCCATTCCAATTAATTTCTGGCGTCACATAATGAAATTATGTTTTATGGCGTCACTTCAAAATATCTTAATAAAAGTACAAAAAATTTATAAGATTTTATTGCGGAATTCGTAATTATGTTCATCTTTCTGAGTGATTCAGAGACGCTGGTCCACCTTGCCTCGTGCAAAATTGAATTAAGACAACTGCTCTACCCGTCATAGAAAATGTAGGTCTTTAAGATATACTTCTACCAAATTTTTCAGTAAAATTGTAATTTTAATTTTAATTTTTAAGAATGTGGATGATGCAGTAGTATTTTAGCGAGCAATATGTGATGTTTATTTTATTTTATTTTTGAAGCAAATATATCTACAATTGCAATACTCATTTCCACCAATACTAGACTATTATTACTACTATGCAACTTCTTAATACAATAATATATATTACACCATTTTCTATGGAAAACTGAGCAGCTTTTGAAGTAATGGAAAAGATCTGTTCGACAACCCGTAAAGGTTAATTTAGGGAAGCAACTGACAATATTTACGCTTAAATATTTACCAATCTGTTTGATTTTCGCGACATACCTGAAAACTTTCCATTTAATTAATCATCATATTCTACGTGTTAATTGTTCCCAAATGAATTTTTATTATTTGAATATTTAAAATAAAGCTGAATATGTTGCAATTAAAAGGAAAGAAAAATTCAAATAAACTGCACAGCAAAAAGGACACAGGATAATTCGTTTATACATCACTTATCAAGGTCGGAGTCGTTCAGATTAATTTAACGCCATATTTGTCGTGCAATCACACAAGGTTTCTTCTTTAATTTGGAGACCTGGACAGTATTAAAGCCGATGTTACGACATTTGCGATTGTGAGTATTTGTTTAGACGTTATAAGGACCACTTCTCTCTAAAGTGCCACATTGATGAGACGAGTAAATAAACGATCCACGTAACAAATAAAGCGAATAAAAATAAATAAATAGGCGTTAATTGAATGCATAGACTTCATGCTGCAGAATAAAGATCTCATTAATGCTTTTTAAATGGGAAAGTAATTCAATTAGTTCAATTATTTTTTACCTCTGTTTATTTTCTGAGTACAAAAAGTTGAACCAATGTGATGTGTACTTTTTAAAATTTTATCCTACTTATTTGTCAAAATATTTGAAATAGTGACCTTAAGGTACTCGTTTCTGATTTATTTGCTTAATTGTTGTTAATCGTTATCTATAATTAGTGGTGGTCTAAATAATTGCTACTGATGATATTTACGAGAGAACCATCCTTTCAACATTTTAAGGACGCAGACTGCGTGCATATAAGGAATTAATTATTGCGACATTGAACTAAATCTATTAAAAAAATATTGACCCAAGGATATTTAAGTAATCGATATTTGACACTTAGAGATGACTATTTTTAGTAGCGATGTTAAGTGAACTACTCATCTTTCACTGTCTATTTAAGATTTTTCTAATCCGTCAAGTGTAATAATTGCGCGCAAGCAATTTTAATACGCCTTGAACGCACTATTTCACTAATGGGAATTTTATTTAAAAAAAGATATTTTTAATTATTTTCTCAACGACTTTGAGTTCGGTTGAATTTTAATATCGGATTATTATACCTACCACAATATAAACTCGGATGTAATAATAATAATATAGGTAAGGAAAATCACAAACATTATGTGTCCACAGGGGGTGAAACCCTTGGATATTAAGTGTATTGAGAAATTATATACATAGGCCTAAAGCAGAAATGTAGTCTCACGACAAAACCAACCAATTCATTTATCTATGGTTTAAGAAGAAGAATGCTAGGTTAAATACATCTTTTCAAAATTTATTTTTGTACTTTGGCACCCACAAATCTTGGGGAATGGTTTTCTACTTTGAGAGTACCGCCGTCGCTCCACCGGCAGTACTTTATATGGGTGTTGACAAATACGAAAGTACTGTAAATTGTTAACAGTTTTTTTTTTATAAGATGCCACTAATTTTGTTCTTTCAGATGAAGATTTGATAAAATGGGGATGGCCGGAAGATGTTTGGTTCCATGTAGACGAAGTTTCGTCGGCCCATGTCTATTTAAGGCTACGACCAGTATGTACACATAATTCTAGGAAGCTCAAACTAAATAGTCTCTTTTTAGGGTCAGACCATTGATGACATTCCCTCAGCAGTAATTGAAGATGCTGCACAGCTTGTCAAAGCCAATAGCATCATGGGGAATAAAATGAATGATGTCAATATTGTATACACCATGTGGTCTAACTTAAAAAAAACAACCAGTATGGATGTGGGTCAGGTTGGATTTTTCAAACAGAGCGAAGTAAAAAAAATTAAGGTGGCTAAACGTGTTAATGACATTATCAACCGACTAAACAAGACCAAGAAGGAAGAACACCCAGGTTAGTGTGTTTAAATATTTAACAAAAATATTTCCAAACCTAAATTAGATTTAAGAGCTGAGCGAGAGAAACGGGACAGACTGGAAAGGGAGGATAAGAAAAAACTGTTACGAGAACAAAAAGATAAAGAAAAGGAAGAGGAGAAGAGACGAAAAGAAGAAGCAGAATTAAGAAGTTATAATTCCTTAATGAGTGCAGACAATATGAGTAAATATGATGATGGTAATGATTCTGACGACTTTATGTGATTAAATTGTTTATTCCTATTATTCCAGTGTACAACAATTGTATAATTTTGTAAAATATAAAGATTTCTTGTATAATTTAAACTTACTTTCATTTTAATTAATTGCAAAGGACTGCAAGGAAAAACTGAAATAATGTATTAACAATCTAATGAATTTATGGGTACAATAAATTAATGTTAACAGCTTTTAATGAATCTTGGATCCAACTGGGGTAGCTCCTATCTGGATATAAATTAGCCATGAAATTCTGCACAAAGCTCACAAAACTACCATTTAGTATATTATCTCTCATAGTTTTCATCAATCTCATCTGGAATGCTACATTGTGCTCTGTTAACAAATGGCAAGCGACAGGAAGATCACCAGCAATTCCGTGGAGATATGCCCGGGTGTAATTTTTGCAAGTTGTACAACTGCAGTCTTTATCTATAGGGTTGAAGTCTTTGGCATACTGTTTTTTCTTTAGATTTAATTGACCTGTCATCAAAAGGGCGCAACCAAATCTCTAAAATTGATTTTCTAAAAATATTGTTTATAAAACCAAGTCTAAATTTTACAGCTGTCCTGGTTGGGAAAACACAGTCAAACATGTCCACTCCCAATGCGCAACATACAACCAAATCCACCGCAAACCCAACTCCCATCAAATACCTAGGTTTATCCTTCGGCAATAAATTTGTACAAAGGTGGACAATTTTCCAAAAATCATCTTTACTTTCCCCACCACTAAAATTAATCCAAACTGTATCAAATGAATCAATGTAAAATAAAATTAATATTACCTCAAACCTCCTATCGCATAACCGTTGACATCCCTTTTCATATGATCTGCCACACTTATTTTTCGCAAATCTTCATATAAAGTGCCTTGAACTATGGGAAATATACTTTGACATTCAGGATTCTTATGAGCCGTTAAACACCTATCAAGCCATCGTGTAGTCCTAAAATGCTTTACCATTCGTCATGTCCACTTATTTTTATTTCCTTTGTTAATATACCTGTGCACTGATTCCTTAATTCTGTCTTTATTGGGATTTGTAGTTTTAATGACATCATCTAACTGCATTATTATGTCGGCACCAATAGCATTTTGAATTTCAATGGAATGTTCTGGAGTGAGCATGACTTCATTTTTTTGTTCATTTAGTGACTGGAATTTGACACCTTCTTCTGTTATTTCTGCTAATTTCAATAGGGATACCATCTGAAACCCTCCCGAATCAGTCAACAAGTTTCCATCCCAGTTCATAAAGTTGTGTAGTCCACCCGCTTTACTCAATATATCAATACCCTGGAAATAAAAAACAAAAGCACTTAGGGCTATAGCACAAAAAATCCTTACCGGACGGGTTCCTAAATGGTAGGTGTTTGCTAGCATAATTTGCAATCCCATTTTCTTAAGTTGTTCTGGCAACATACCTTTTAAAGTACCCTAAAATATCTGGTTTAGTTTGGAGAAATTCGTTAACATCTACCTACTTGAGTGCCTACGGGCATAAACACCGGCGTATCTACATACCCATGTGGTAATTTCATTTTTCCCACCCTAGCTTTCGTTACTTTGCATTCGCATAAAACGTCGAATACCAGTGGTGATTTGCACCCGGTCATAATCGCCTATTTCAGGGAAATTTTAAAAATTTATGATATACAACATGGAGAACATAACCTACAACAATAAACAATAAGCCATGGACCAAACCAATGGACAGCTGAAAACGACAAAATATAAACACCATGCAGATTATATATTTGAACCATATAACTATATGATTTGAACACAGGCTATTTAAATATTTTGGGAAATGAATTCGATTTTAATTTTATTCATGAATGTATGTTTTAAAATAGATGCTGCATATACGCGGATGATATATTTTTTCTCGTCAACATCAATTCTAATTCTAAGAAACCAGAACGATTACGGTAAGTCCTGAGAGCCATGCAAATCTTGATCTCTGGTTATGGAAACTAGCTGAATCGAACCGAATTGGATCAAAACCAGTTCATATGTTACTATAGCGCTCGCAACCTGTAAGGATATTGAATATTTTTGCCCTCTGTACTATAAACTCGAACATACATTCAAAACTATACCTCGTGTTATCCTGAACATTTTGCACCCCGTTAATGCTACTTGGTCCAAAGAGATTTGAGTAAGCAATCTTGTTATCTGAAATCCAAACATAGACTAAAACACCAAACATATTTTGAAGGTACCTCGACGTTGTAAGCATTAGATGGCACTGAATTAAGTATTTCCCCGGGAACTTTACTTTCGTCATTAATCCAGGACGCGCAAAGCGATACTGACGCAATCTTGAAGATGCAATAGATAAAGGAAAAAATAAAGTAAATATTTTCGAAAACGCTGTTGATTTCTCTAAAATAATTCGATTTAGCATTAAAAAGCAAATATGCTGGTGTTTACTTAACTCGAAGCTGCGGTAAAGCTGCACCAAAATAAAAAATATGTTGAGAAAATACGAGAGCAATATCAATCCGGTAATATTGCTGTCCAAATCGTAGCAAAGATTGGCTAGTCTGTCATAATCCTCTCGTATCGTTTGAAAGAAGTGTAGGGGCTGGTTCTAAAAATCGTAACATTTTTCTCATATAGAAATGTTTTTAAATCAAGAACGCACTCGCCTTTTGACATTCTCTGAATAGTTTTTGCGACAGCATTCTGAACCTAGAGGCTAGCACGACGCTCACCACGATAATGAATAAATCGTTGCAGGCCCATAACAAACTCGTGTGCAAATTAATCACCTAATTCAGTATTCACTAGTTATTCAGTGCATAGCATTATATATAGCTATTAGATAATATTGAGGCCGTAAATAATGTAAAATTTCCGCACATGGCACTATCCTTTTTTAAACTGAAATTTGATTAGGTTTTGGACATATTTTGACAAAATAAAAACTTGTCGCATGCAAGAACCGCCAGCAGATAGTTGAATGCGAGTTTCAAAGTGGACAGATGCTCAGATTGGACTTTTGATGTTTGTTTAAAAAGTGCGTATTTTATCAGTATAGTCAGTATATGCGTGCGTTTAGTAGCATACCGGTTGTCTCAGAATTAAGAAAACCACACAACGGATTTGCTAGCTTGATTTTTTTTCTACAAAAATTTCTAATATTTACCCTAGTTAAAGTGACACCATTATTATTTGGAATCTGAATTCAAATCTTTTCATTTACTGCGGTTTGTGGTGGGAAGAAAAATACTGATTATTTCAATACACATTTTACTATATGAATAGTACAATAATTAATAAAATTAGTTAGTCTTCAACAATTGATTAGTTTTGACTGGTTAATCGATGCCTAATTTTTACTGGAAAAATAATTTTCGAACACTCCCCACTACTTCGAAAGATAAAGCGATAGAGCCATTACACACAAAAAATGAATTTGGGTTAGATTTAAAACAGTACTCACATTAACTAGGGTTAATATTTTTTTTTGTAATAAGCGATTTTTTAAATTCAAAATAATAATTATGTGCCCTGGTGGCCATTTCAGACACCCGAAAATAATCTCCAGTATTTTCTCTCGTCCGATTTACATAATGTTTTTTTTTTTGCTAAAACAGCCGGTATATGAGGCACTTTTTGAAAAACATACCACAGACTATAATGAAAAAACAGTTGCAGCCACTAAGATCGTAATTATTTGTGGCTCTATTATCAGCATTGGTATTCAATTTATCCAGTAGCTACATGAATTTTGGCGTTCAGATGTTTTCAAACTTACTATAGCCATTATACCGGAAACTGTGCTACTCCGCATACAACGAAACACTTCCGTCGTCGATGCTTTATAGTAGGCGTCGACAGTATAATTTTCTTTGAGGCTCAGACGGAGTTTATCATATCGATTACAAGCCCGTAGAACGTTGTTCGCTAAAACGATGCCCAATTTGTTAATTAAAACGTGAGAAAGCAATATAAACATCTATAAAAAAAAATCGAGAAACTTACTGAGGGCTAGGATAACATAGACGATAATAAAGAACCGTAAGCGCCGAAGTACTTTTTTCGGATATCCATAGTTTACGACCGTCAATTTATCCACCGCGCACCATTTTCTAATAAAATCGGGCCAAACTCTAGCCAATTTAAGGTATAAAATCATGATTAAAAGTGAGACCGTGTAAAAGACGAGAGTGGCTAAAATAAATTTAAAATTAAACTTTTCTGCTAGTCAAATTATGGATACCTACCAATTGCTATAATGTCAGTTTCGGCCCTAAATATGTGTATAATGTAGCAAACCACCGTTACGGAGAGAAAACCGATATAAACTAAAGTATATAACACTTTCAAGCTCAACCAAGAGAAATGTATTCGATCTTCTCCGTCTCGAACGCTTTTCTGTGGAAAAATCCCCAGGAATTGAGAGAAAAACATGAAATTTTTAAGAGACGTGTACATATTTTCTTTGCCGAGCAAATTTTCTACTGCAAACCCTTCTATTTTGTTATTTTTCGCGATGTAATACATTATATTCGACCTCATCGTACTTATCACACCGAATAATATGGTTCCGAGTAATATCGACTACGATTTTGACGTACGTGTTACATCGTAGCTTCAAAACAATGATAGATGCCAGCCTGAAAACGAAACATAAATATTGTTTTCAGCTATTTTCCTAAATATAATCGTGGAATCGCGTGTTAACAACTGATACAGGAATTAAAAACCATTGTTTTGTTTTTCATGTTTACGGTTCGATTTAAAATTATTGTCAACTTGTTTATTTCTATGACTGCTACCCAGAAAAACAAGAATTCAGAATGAATTGATTCATATTTTTTATACAGGGTGTTTTCAAAAAATAACGTGGCAACCCTCGGTTTGGTTCGGAAGTGCTTATTTTCCGAGACACGGGGTGTAAATACTACAAAATAACGATTTTTATAACATATTCTAAGTATTTTTTGCCCGATTTTGTTGAAATATGGCAAATTTGGCAAGAGGCTAATTTTACTTTAACTAAATTAAAGTAGGGGTATCAAAACGACTAGTATTGTCAAAAAAAAAATATGTCACTGGCTTTTATGTTATTTACTTTGAATAAGCCACCAGCAGCACTACTTTTTTGCCACTTGAGTTGTTTTCTGATATGGATATGATCAAAAGTGAACTGCTATGATTGTAGACGTGTTGTGTTAATTTTCAGCGTTATTATTTCAAGCGGATGCTAATTTGACATAATTAATTTTTTCTACTCCCGTCTGTAAAATACCTAAATACATACCGATTTAGCGTGCGGGAAGCGTCACTTTATCACGTCAGTTTCATTTCCCACGGATCCGAACCACTTCGGACATTTCCGGGATTTTACCGCACTGGTTTGGGAGCAGTCGGATGTTTTCGGAGATTTTACAGGACGGTTTCAATTCTGCCGGTCATGGTGTTGTTTTGCAAAAATGGACCCAAAAACTAATAGCAGACTAGTCGGTATGTAAAGTGACATTTATAATTTAAGTTTCCCACAGAAATTTTACATACCGTTTAGTGGTTTTACAGTTTTTATATTTATATCTTGCCAACACCAATTGGACGATTTTCAAATATCCTTGTCTCATCAGTACAAACCAAACAAAATAGAAGGTTAGGACCTGCTTTTTATTGCTTATACGATGTTAAAAATTTAATCCTCTTAAAAGCTCTCTCCTTGGATGAATTTTCTTCCAATTACAGTCTTTTTTTTCATCATCAATTGTAAAAGTTAAATAAATGACATGAAGCTTTAAAATTGTGTTTACTCTGTCTCTGTACTAACGTACACAGTGGATCCGCTCCATGCTAACCGACAGGAGGGTCGAGGCAAGACTGGGTAGGGAGCAGGTCTCCATCGGTTCATCACGGGGTTGTCCACAGGGCGGGGTCTTGTCCCCGTTCCTGTGGTGCCTAGTGGTGAACGAGATATTGCATATTCTGAGGGAAGAACACGAGGTCTATGTTCAGGCATATGCAGACGACCTTGTGATAATGACGCAGGGGACGGACGTGAGGAGGATGCAGGGGCTCCTGAACGGGGCATTGGCAAGATTCTCACAATGGTGCCTGGACAGCAAGTTGGCTGTCAATCCTGGCAAGGTGGAGATGGTCATCTTCACTAGGAAAAGGAAGATGGAGTGCAACCTCAACATTTCGATGGATGGGGTGCCTCTTTCTGCAAGCGGAAATGTCAAGTACTTGGGTGTATGGTTGGACCCTAAGTTGACCTTCCAGGAACATATAAGATCAAGGACCAGGTCGGCCTTTGGAGCTCTGTGGGCGTACCGGAGAGCTGTAGAGGGCACTTGGGGCCTGGGGCCGAAGATCATGCAGTGGATCTACGGTACCATGGTGGTGCCTATGCTCATGCATGGGGCAGTGGCATGGTGGCCGGGGACCAAAAGAGCGGGAGCAAGGCTAGTTCTTAACAGACTGCAGAGATTGGCTTGCCTCTGCATAACGGGCGCCATTAGAAAGGCGCCCACGAGGGCCCTGGAAGCTCTGGTGGGGCTGCCCTCTCTGGCGGATCGGGTGCAGATGGAGGCGGCCAGGACAGCTGTGAGGCTGGCGAGCTGCGGGCTCTGGAGGGAGAGAACCTTCAATCGGGGTCCGTACGACATTTTAGAGGGCTGTCGCGGGGATCGCGGGGTCATGGGCATGCCGAGTGACGTCATGATCCCCGAGATGACATTCTTTGATAAATTGACCTTCTTTGATAAATTGACCTTTCTCTTTCCATCAAGGGAAGATTGGAGAGAGGGCAGAGTCGGCTCCTGGGATGGACTTGTCTGGTACACGGACGGGTCCAGAATGGGAGATCTGGCCGGAGCTGGAGCGTACTGCGAGACAACGGAATCAAGCTTGTCGGTCCCTCTGGGTCAGTACTGCACTGTGTTTCAGGCGGAAATTTTCGCTTTATTGATGGCGGCCAGAGAGGTGCTTCGGCTCAACTACGGAAGCAGGAGAGTCTTCTTCTGCTCGTAGGGCTGCACTCATGGCGCTGAAGTCAGTGCGTACGCGCTCCTTGTTGATAAAGGAGTGCAAAGGAGTACTGAGGAGGGTGGCTGAGGAGAGAAAGGTCACGTTGGTCTGGGTCCCGGGTCACACCGGTATCCGGGGCAATGAGGCAGCGGACGCCTTAGCCAGGGAGGGCTCCTCGCATAGGCATATAGGGCCGGAGCCCCGCTTGGGGATCGCCCCGTGTGTGAGGCGGGGAGCTCTCGAAGCCTGGGCGAGAGACCGGGCCGCGGGGGGCTGGAGAGTTGCTCCGGGAATGAGGCAGGCGAGACTTATGATGGATGGGCCCGCCCTTTCTCGGACCAGGGAGCTGCTTAGACTGACCAGAAGGGAGTGTAGAGCACTAACAGGGGCCTACACAGGACATTGCAGGCTTAGGAGGCATCTCTGCTTGCTAGGCATTGGAGACGACCCGGAGTGTAGGTGGTGCATGGAAGGGGAGGAGACCCCGTATCATCTGCTCACCGAGTGCCCTGCCTTGACATGGGCAAGATTGGGAGTCTTCGGAACGGCCCTGATCGATCCGTCTCAGTGCGCGGTATTGGGCTAAAGGAGTTACTGACCTTCTACAGGAGGGGCGGCATTCTGGACGCCCTCTAGAGCGGCCTGGGGGCACAACCGGCCCATCTGGTGGCCTAAGTGCTTGGACGCCCGCGAGGGCGCCCCCCTTTAATACCAATACCAATACGTACACAGTTAAAAAGAGACAACAATAGGAGAACCGATAGGAACGATAAACGCATAGGTTTAATGTAATTAGTAATCCAATAATCTGTTATTATTTTTTATTTGTTTAATTGTGATTTTTTCGCAACGGTAGTAGAAGAAGTATAGTATGCAACACGTTTGGCGAACTCTTTATCTCACTCGTTTATTAAGTTATAAACTCGTTAGTCAAATGCCGTTTACCTCACTTGTTGCATAATATACTATAATATTAAATAAATTGGTAAGTTAATGACAATATAAAAGTTTTAACATGACTTTTGACACAGTACTTAGTAGATGAAAAATATTAAAAATCACATTTTTGTTGTAATATTGTGCAATGTATTTGAAATACAAATATTCAGAGAATTTTCAAAAACGTGTCACACCATATGCTGTTGTGTTGTTGATTAAATATTTAGTCTTTAATTTATACTCGTTGGAATCCATAAAACAATGAGACCCATACAATAGCTTTTATTTCAAATAACCACAGCTTTATATATATCTACGCATAAATTGCTATGATTTTTGCGTTACTAGATATCTGCACAGGTCACAGCTTTTTACGTTGAACCATATAGGTTTGCGGAACTGAACTGTATCAGCACCAGTTCGTAAGTTACAACTGCACTTGCCACCTAAAATGTAAAAAATCAACATCTGCAGAAAATAACCTCAAACGTCAAAAAACCATAGCTAAAATATATCTAAAACCAATCGTTCCTAAACTCGTGACTAAAGTATCGGAAACATGTATGCATCTGTGGAAAGTGATGTTTTAAAGTGACACTTTCCGGACGTTTTAAAATAGGAAATAGACACAGTATATCACGTAAGACGCTAATAAAGTTCTTCACTCACTTGCATATTAAACACTCTCTTCGTTCGTGTCAAATCAAACGCGTGACTAAAGCTGCGTTTATCAAACTTATTACGTAATATTCTATTATTGAAGTGCTTAATTATACAAGGTGTGTTAGATTCATCTAAGAAAATAGTTGATAGTGAAATTTGACATTTTGGAAAGTGATCAATGTTTTCGACTCCTCTCTGATTATATTTCGACACCAACCACCGCACAGTTATTAAATGGAATATAATCTCACGCTAAGTATAAGTCCTCGGGTGATGGTAAACAATTTGCAACCTGTGAGAGCCGTCTTGTCAAGACTGATCTGAGTCAATAATCGTCGAATCTGAAAGTAAATATCTTGGAATACACATACATACGATAGATTTAGTTATATATGCGCCACGAAGCTACGTATGTGCAGACTTATCTTTCAAGTTTAAAAGTCTCGACTTTCGTAACAGACTCTACTTTTTTATCAAACGGATTTTCGCTAACCCTTTGGGTTTTTGAATGTGGTTTAAGGTACTCTCATTATCTTTTGATAATGTATATAATCTGTCATCGTTCGGCCGACTCATTTGTCCAACTCAAAGTCAAAAAGCAAAATGATAACCATTTGCTTGTTGTTTCCCAGCGCAGATTAATTTGAGACGTACACCAGCTAAATTTACAATTTGAGAACCCACCTCCACATTATAAAGGGAAGAGTCGACCGAATTCAAAATGGTGGTCGGAGTTTTGCTTTCGTCATTGATTCTGGCCGCGTACAGCGACACCGACGTGGTTTTGTAGATGAGAAACGAAAACGAATACGCGAAATATATTTTTTCAGTCACCAGGGAAATCGATCTGAAATTTACAAATTACAGTCCAAAACTGTCTCACGCGGCGCGACTCACTCTAAACTATGATACAGCTGAATCAAAAGATAGAACATATTTAGGGAATAAGACAAAAGGATCAACGGGGAGATATTGCTGTCTAATTCCTTGCAAAGATTAGCCAGCCTGTCGTAGTCCTCGCGAATTTCCCTCCAAAACGATATCGTACTGTGCTTCAGGTTTTTTTCGCTGAGCCGTTTGGATATTTGCTGGAAACGTGATGAAAGACAAATGCTCATTAATATTATAAACAAATCGTTTAGAGCTTGTGCTAGAGATGAGAGGATATCTGTTACCTGCAATAGAAAAGGGGTGTTATTGGATAATCACGATGTAGATCACACGTGAAATAGAAAAAGGACCAGACAAGAAATTGACGCAATGATTAAAATCCGACAGCTAACATAAACAACTATAATTTAAAAAAGACCAATATTAGCCAATCTTTTTGGCAATAGAATATGTTTGACAATGTGTAGAGGATAAAAGTATTTCAGACAATGTCTCCATAACAAAATACTTCATCTCTCTTATTATTTTATATTTTCTGTGAATTATTATGATTTTAACAAAAATGTTGATGTTTTTGATTTTACTTACGGAGGGAAGGAGTGAGAAGAGTTTAGAACTGATCACGTAGATCATCTAGTTTGAGGTCATTGAATTTTAACGTCTGGAACGTAAGTTTTGACTGGTTACTTGAAAATTATTTCAAAGACAATTCCAAAGTTTTTTTTTCTGTAAGTATAATGACACCCAGTATAGTTATTTATGGTCCGACGCAGAATATATTTTAATGCGATATGTAGCCAGCACAGAAAGATAATTTTGTTTTATAAAATAATTATTAATAATTATTAATTACCACATTAAATCACAACAGAAAAAATAAATTTAGAAAGTAATAATCAATGAAAGGCAAGAAATACAAAATGAAGGTAAACGAAATGAAGACCCTAATTCGTGCTATTTGACATTTTCAAGTTGAAATGGCGTGATCAGCACAATTCAATAATAATTCATCTCTACTTCGAACAGGCTTAAAAAGAGAACGCTAGTTCTTTGATACAGTCAGGGAATTGAAAACCCCAGGTCTACAAATTGGATGACCTGAATGACCAGTTCCAGAGTCAAATTTGTTTAAACTCAACTAACAGAACTTTGGGGTTTGATCGATTTTTGATAAAAAATACGATATACGAAGAAAACAGGTGAGAGAGAGTAAAAGGAAATGCATGCTCAATCCATGTAGAATTAAATTTGAAAATCATGTAATTGGTTAGTAAAGTTTCGACGCTCCGTAAGCGATAAATCAATTTCCAATATCGAAAGGACAATTTTTGTGTTTCCTTTTATCATATAAATGATTACCGTGAATTAAAAAAGGTTAAAAATAGCAATAGTTAAAAATTGAGCAAGATATCTAAAAACCATATCTAAAAATAAGGAATTGATTGCCTGTAAGATACTTGTGAGATACAATGTATAATAGAAACTATTTGTATGTAAATTAAAGAAGAAGAAGAAGAATCCTACAGTAATGAGCTACCGTGTATATGAAAATTTTACAAAAAAGCCAAAATGGCGCTTTTCTAACGAAATAGTAAAAGAAAGTGTAAATTCACAAACTTTTTAAGAAATTTATGTTTTCTATTACCTGATCTGAAACGATGAACAATTTAATTTTTAAAACGAACATGAAAAAGGTAATCATGAGACACAGGTGAAAAAAAAAATCAAATAACAACAGCAAATAAGTTAAAATCAGCGAAAAAGCGAAAAATTTGGTGTAGCCGTATTGACTGTGCAACAATTTTACTTGTCTGGTCTCGATTTGGATATGTCAGATACAATGTGCTTCACCACAGCGTATAACCCTGTTCCGAAATTAAGCGGAATGTAGACAAAAAACCCGGAGAAATAGGTGCCGAAATACTTTTCGATTGTAAGATTGGTCCCAGGTTGGTACATCAGTTGCTCGCATATTTTGACAACCCGGAGAATATATTCGGCTGAAAGTAATACGCCAATCTGTCGTAAGCACATAAAGTCGCCGTTTTGAACTTACTAGCTGAAATTGTTATGAACAATGCACAACAACTACGAAGTTTTCTATCCAAACGCCGCGGATACCCATACAGCGAGTTCATTTTCTTATCCACTGCACACCAAGATCTCATAAGGTTTGACCATGAGACGGCCAGTTTCAAATGCAAGCCGATTATCAAAGCAGATCCTGCATAGTTCACGCATGTAACTGAAACCAAGAAGTTTTTAATATGTTCCATTCTACAGGTTGTCCAATTTTTGTACGTTTTTTATAGTAGGTATTTGAAGTAATCAAATATGTTTTTTATTTCGAAGATACAGGCGGCAGATTCTTTTTTATTCTATTCTTTTTTTATTTGGGTTTCAAATAAAATAAAATAAAATAATAAAATATCATCAATTTTCAACATTATACATATTTGTTTTGTTAAATAAGCCAAATTAGCATTGTTTCATGATTCTTTCTTATTAACAACCAAGCAGTACACATTTTTGTGTCTTATGAAAATGTCAGTTTGTTTGTTTACTATGGATTTTATTTCAGTGTTTCTATTGTTCTGTGTTCCACTTATTTTGCGCCCATGATTTGAAAGACAAGACACGAATAAAATATGTTCGAAAAGCAGAAGAGAAAATCCGGAATGAAACAAAGAAACGGAAACTCAAAAATCAAGGTTTTAATGTTGTGATTTTGACAAGTCACAAAATGTGTTCTAAAAACTGTCAAAGTTTTCATAATTTTAAATGTTCCAAAATGTTTCTGACTCCTATTGCCGTAACAAAATGGTTTACCTATATTCCCGAAATTGGTTCCGCATTGTATCCAGTCATACGAATAAAACCCCACCGCTACTGACAAGGCCAAAATGCAAACTGTGCAGTATAGAACTTGCCAGCAGAACCACGAAAACTGTAAATCGCTTGTGTCCTTTAAGATGTTTTGTTGAGGCAGCAAACCGAATCCCTGGGCAATAATCATAAAAAATTTTAACGATTTGTGGATGTTGGGTTCTGCTTCGGGATTTGAGCCATTTTGAATCTGCGATCTTTCCGCATGGATTTTGTTGTCTCTCAAAAAACGAATCATTGGATCTTGCAAATACCTAATAAAAAATAGTCATACATAGCAAACACAGATAGGATTAACTAACACTCCCCTCATTCTCAGAATTGTAGTTCAAAAAATAGCGAACAAAATGGGTTCTAAGCCAGGATCACAGGATCACCGGTCACTAGTTCATACCTATTTTTGTTAAACACACTTCTCTCTCTCTCTCTCTCCCTCTCTGAGTGAGGGGAATTTAAAAAGGTCACTATAATACCTGAGAAAGAGGGGTCAACTAGTGATCAGTGATCTTGTTCTAGAGGAGTCAATTAGTGATCAGTGATTTTGGTCCGGTTACTCCTAACTACTGGAAAGCGCTAAGCTTGTAGGGTTGTGATAGTTCAGTGCAGCAAATAGTTCTGAAAAATACTATCGAAGGTATTGTTCAATTCAAATGGTATAACGAAATGGTTCTGGGACGCGTACCTATCCCGTATTCACTTACGGAGCGCGATTAAATCCACATCAATACGTTCTTGACAAGAGGTAAACAAAAACAAGTCAATCATACGCGGTTATATTCCAGTCGGAAAAGCATTATCACGAAAATGCATTCCATTAAAGTAAACAACACGGCCATGTGGCTTGTCCCTCTATAGCAACGTAAACATTTCCTATAAAATCGGAAAAGTGTTAAATATCTTCGATCGGCTTTTTGTTTTCGGTCGTAATGGCGAAGCACATTCAAGTAAAGTCGCGCGAATACCAACAAATAACCATTACGAAAATTTTCACCAAGGTCATAGTAGTCGCTCAGGTTTTCGGTTATTTTCCCTTGTCGGGCGTATTGGAGGCCGATCCAACAAAATTAAGATTTTCCTACAAGACTCCAATAGCTATTTATTCGATTCTGACTCTCCTGGGCGCAAGTTTTATGCTCGCTATGCAGCTGACCAAAACTATCGCGATCGAGCTGACAATTTTTCAAGCAGAAAGTCTGACGTATTATGCGGGCTCCGCGTACGTAGGTATTACATTCATAGATCTGGCTAAGAAATGGCCCAAGTTGATGGCAGATTGGGAAGCTATTGAAAAACATATGAAAAACTACGGCCCACCTAAAGGATTGAACAAAAAAATCACAATCTTAATGGTACTGTTCTTGAGCGCCGCTGCTGGTACGTTTAGTTTGCAATTTAAAAGTTATCCTTGCCCCGGTAACATTTGGAGTGGATATTAACCAGTGCTGAAAATATTGCCAATCGTTTGATATTAATCACACCTGCCACGTCTTCAGCACATCATCATCCCACAATTGTTAAAAATTTGAGGTGCTTTTGCTTTCAGTGAAATATGGTCTTCATCAAAGCACGAAGTTGTACAGGGCGATGAGTTGTCACAACGACACCCGGTCGGCGATGAAATTCTTCTTCGGCAATCTGACATATTCTCACATATTCAGGATAATACCGTACAATACTCCTACCGCCTTCCTCATTCATGTATGGGGTGTGCAACATAGGATTCTCCGTCCCCCCATCGTCGAAAGATAGTCTTATTTTGATTTATCCGCTCCACAATCTTTTAAAATAGGGTGATAGAGAATCTTATGTGGAACACTTAGCCCAACTCGGAGATCATAACACTCACCACGACTATGGTTTCAGTTCTTTGCAATGCAGATACATTTTTCTTTAATGTATATCGACGTGTTCATAATGATCGTCAGCATCTGTCTGTCGAGTCGGATGGCCCAAGTTACAGAAGCAATCAGAAGCGCATCAGACTGCCATGTAAGGGAGGAAAGGGTATGGGCCTATTTAAGGGAAGACTATACCCGTTTAGGTCAACTTTGCCGTACAGTAAACAAGATCATTTCAAACGCCATACTGGTATCGTTTCTACCGAACGTACTGATCATCTTGATCCAGGTTTTCAACAGCATAAAACCCCTGCATAATTACTTGGAGGCCATTTATTTTTATTTTTCCCTTGTATTTCTAATATCAAGAACCGTCGCAGTGTCTATTTATGGGGCCATGGTTAGCGAAGAAGGCAGGAGGCCGTTGAATATTTTGAACTGCGTGTCGTCGGATGTTTACAATAATGAGGTACGAGACAGAGAAAAATTGTCACAAGTTCATTGATTGAGAATGAGTAGGTTTAAATTTAAATTCACCATTGAGTCAAAAAGAAGACACGTAAAAAACTGTAGAAAAAAACAAGTATCATATGCGGTGGAAGTTTATGATGCCTAATGAAACATAAGACATGCTTTTTAGATCGAAATATTCATCAACCAAATTTCGAACTTCGAAATACTATTGACCGGTAAGAACTTCTTTTCTATAAGGAGACACATAATTTTGGAGGTAATTAATATGTTGTCACTTTCGCTAAGGAATTAAAAGCCAATTTTTATTTTAGATAGCCGCAGCATTAGTAACATACGAGCTGGTACTCATACAGTTCAACCAAGAATACCTTAACTCCTACAGCAAATCGAATCGATGCGTGTAAACGATAAATTGTCTTATTTGTCGCCGAATAATATATATGTAAAGTGCTCCTAATGTAGCCTACCTTTAGGTTTTTGCTTAAAGCAAATAAATACAATCAAGTCACTTTATTTGTGAGTAGTTTGATTTATGACAATCACTGTCCACTTATAAGTTAATGGCGTACTCAGGTGAGTCTTTTTCGTCCAAGTAAAACCAAAAAACCAACCGCGGATATACCGGGCGTTTGGAAAAATTCAACACCATTACAGGTTTGATAATTACATTTAGTTACATATCTTTTTTCTTCGAGTTTGAAAAGTTCTTAAATATGTGTTTCTTTTGTTAAATACGTAATGTAATATATACACTTCAATTATTTGTTAAAAAAAAGATGCTGTCCCAGTATAGCCTCGACGGTTGATATCTTGCCGAAAGACCGTTAGTTATAAATTTAAACAATATAAATGTTTGAAGCAGCAAAAGTATTGCTGAAACTACTAATTAACTGCTTTGGTTTACAAAAATATAGTACGTTAACTTTTCATTATTTCACATTATAGTTATTGAAGCAAAATAAGTACAATTTCGTAATTCAGAACGAAAAATCAAATCGTGCTTAACATTTTTGAGACCTTGCAATTCACTTATCTTTTGCAAAATGGTGAATATTTCTTTTAACCATTGCAAACACAATACGTGCTTAAAATTAACGGTAGAATTGAAATACGAAGGAATATTTAAGTTCCATAAGAAAAAACATGATTTTACTTTCTTACAAATTTATAGGACATTCTGTATACATAAAAATAATTCTAGGTGATGAGTCTAATTCCCTTGTGGAACTTTTCGGAAATTTATTTTTTCTGTCGCCAGTACAGAAGACGTTTAAAGCGAAGTACATGAGTTCTTCCCTATATACTCGAAATTCAGATTATTCCTGTTACAAAAGTACAAAAAAAAACGTTATAATCCTTTAAAAGGATTTAATTTCTTAAATTTGGGAACATCGAATTTAATGGTAAATAAAACATCAAAATTGTAAAGATGAATGAAAATTTATTTGAAGTGAAACTTTGTTTATCAGATTTAAAGGTTCATATCAGAATAAGTGAGTGTTTTATTTAGTTAGATATCTCTAACATTGGTGAAATGAATAATTTTCAAAACATTATCATACGTGCTGAGAATTAACGGTGGAATTCAAATACGAAGGAATATATAAGTTAAATAAGAAAAAACAAACAAACTTTACTTTCGAACATATTTATATGACATTCTGTGTACATAAAATTCTTACGAGATTACAAAGAAAACATCATAATCATTTAAAAAGGTTTTATTTTTTTAGTTTCAGAACATCGGGTTTAATTTTCAAAAAAACATCTAAATTGTAAAGATTAAGCAAAGTTTATTTGAGGATCAACATTGTTACGAAGCACTAAACAAAATTTTTACAAAAAAAATTAACAATCTAAGTAACATAATGTCTCAGTTATCAAAGTTTTTTCCACGAAAATAAGCAACATTTGGCAACGCTGCACACAGTATTACGAGCAATCTTCACCGTTGGTCAGGATTAGTCATTTCGAAAAAAATATATTTACGCCTCACACGTCTTCGTTTTGGCAAACTTGGTACAGATCTTCAAGGAGACCTTCTTGCACACTCCTAAACAGGTCCGATTTGAAGGCGATGTCAAGAAACTCCTTCCTGTTGCCCTCGTAATGCAACCGTATCTCGTCGTCGCTCAACAGTTGCTTTTTCAACGTCGAAGGGCATTTGTTGAAATGCGAATACAATAGCGCTTGACAGATCGCTTGAGATTTCATGTACCGACATGATTTGTCGAACTCGTCAGGCGTGTACACCGAGTTCACGTCCACATAGAACATCCTCAAATTTTTCGAGATTTCCGTGTAGTATTCCCTCAACAATGCCGACATGTAGGCGTCCCTCATTTCTTTCGTAGAGTTGATGTAAATACAAAACATTACATCGTGCGCTGGAGGGCAGTACCTCAGCATCTGAAAATCCACCAACCGACAGTCATTGGGAACATCATTTTCATCATGTTTGAACATGATATTAGGACCGTACATGTCGGCGTGACATATAGCGTTGCGGTAACGTTCGGAGCTTTTAATTTTCTCGAAGAAACTTTCGAAAGCGCGCCTTACTTTCTCCTTAAACTCTTCAGTCTTGGTAACTTTAACCGCCAGCTGACATTTATCAATCATGTGAAGGGTACCATCTACGCCGTTGATGAACCACGGATCAGACTCTTTGAATGCGATTTCCTCGAAGCGGTTCGGATACAACTCGTTCAGACGCACCGAGTGAGTTTCCTCGATTGCGAAGCTGCACGCGTGTAATTTGGCCAGCTGCGAGACAGCTAGACGCAGGTGCTGATAACTCAGCATTACCGTCGAATCGTAAGCGACGTAGCCTGATTTAGCGAGATCATCCATAAGGACGACATCAAACGATCGGATGAAATACACTTCCGGAGCGAAATCCATGATCTGATCCAACCCATGAGTTTCGAAAAACCGTAAGATAGTGGAATAAAAGAACTCCTCCCTCTCTGACCCGGCCCGGCTGAGAACTTCCCATCGGAATTTGACGGCGAACTTGGCGAACATCTGAAGATCATTCGTCTCCTCTCCTTGGCTTACTTTGAGTGCTAGATTGTAGTAATCTCCGAGGTATCCGTTGCGTTGATCTAAGGGCGTTAAGTGGTAATCCAGAAGACGGTAGTCTACAGATCTTAGCTTGTTTGCTATGGCGATCGATACGTCTTCTTTGTTGAGGCGGGGACATTTCACGTACTTAGAAATGTCCTCCAATATTTCCTGACACTTCACTTCTTCAGTTTTACCCTGCTCGATTAGGTTGCTGACCAACTGGAGCTTAACAATGGGCAGAAGAGCCGCTACCGCTCTGCGATAGTCGTATTTTGAGGTGACCACTTGCGACGCGTCCGCGCTGCAACTTAACCTTTCGTAATAATATTCCATGAGGTATTTGAAGTGCCTGCGTCTGAAATCTTCGTCGGTAAGAGAGAAAATCAACATCAAGACGTCGCAAAAGCTTATCTCCCCAGACTGACGCAGCTGGTCGAGGGAGATTTTCAGTTTTGCACATGCTTCTGTTAAGTCTTGGCCGTTCACATTTCTAACGCTGATGATATTGCGGGAAATTTGATCAAAGTCTATCATATTATAGTCGCTAACTATGGGGCCGCGTTTATTTTTTTGACTTTGCAATAATTCGTTGATTTGGCTTATAATAATCTTAAGGTTATTCATGTCGGTCGCGCACAAACGAAATAACATCTAACTTAATTAGGAGGATATTTGGTAACGGTATCAGTAAGTATTATCAGTATTATTTCAAGATTGAAGAAGTAGATTCCAGTACAGGAGCGTCTCGAAAATTCATTAAGACGTCTTTAAGTTTCTTGTTAAACCACGAGCAAACATCTTTCATAGAAATTCATGCATATCTCAATTTTGTTGGCAATCTCAATTTTCCTTGAAGAAATGCTGATGAGATTCATGATAATGTAATGCCATTTTCTATCCTGGTCGTTAGAATATTTGAAACGTATTTCTTGCAGAGGATGAAAGCCTACAATTTCGATATGATTCGTAGTAAAGCTCAAAACTGTTGGAAATATTTGAATACGTGGATCATATTTAAAAAAGTTCTATCTTAGTATTGTATGTTGCGACAACTCATCACGCGCTGCGTATACGTATTTAAATTGCAAAAATATGTTGCAATACCAAATATAAATAAGTTATCTGATAAAGGATGAAATATGATATCACACTTTTTAATGGATTAAAAATTAATGAAATCAATTAATATCAATCAATAAAATGTCAATGAAAAAGAAACTGAATGTTGTACATTCAATCTCTTGCTTAATTGCTCATGAAAATATATTCGAATTACAAGTAAACTTTTAGAAAAAAGTATAAATGGACAATAATATAATAAAAACGCAACAACTGGCTTTACTTATACACGGAAATTTAATTTCAATTAAAAAAAAAACTAAAATTTTAACACAATCAAAAAACTGGAAATCTATAAATAATCGAAAAGACACTTGTATGTATAAGTCTAAATTTCTACCAATGTAGATATTTTGTTAACTCAAATTTTATTAAGTGTCAAAGAAAGTGTGTATTCATCGGGTTGTGTGTTCGTAACATCTAGAACGATTCTGGTTCAAATTTTAATCACTGTTTTCCAGTTGGAGCTGAGTACTTCCCTGTTATCTCTTATCTGGTGAATGTAAAATGCGTTTCATATTAAGTTGGGTTCACTGTGTTAAGGATGCGGTACCGCTGAGCTTTACTGAAAACGATATGGGTACATTCTAAGGGGTTCATAGTAATTTAATGGGAAAATCGATTTTGATTAGACTAGCTCCTAAATTAGCAGCAGTTTCAATTTTCCGCCAATTCTTTGTTCCTGCAAATAACTTCAAATCATGATCTTCGAGAAAAACACCCATGCCAAATAAATAAATAAAAAATTAGAACTCGGATTTGAAGAAAAAAATGTATGACGGCCGTAGAAATAAAAAAAAACTTAGCGTATATTGTAAACAGCCGAGTGGGAGTCAATGAAAACATGAACGTTCAAGAAAATAACAGTTTTAATTTGTTTTTCCAACGCACAATCGATATCCAGCTATCTGCGTTCTATAATTTTCTTTCAAATCGCACCAAACGGACAAAAGTGTTTGCGCCGCATAAATATTTAAAATGAGTTTACAATGTTTGCCCTTACTTGAAATAAATAAACTAGCTGGTTTAAGTAGGTGGTTTTGCAGGTAAACTAGAATAGAAACCCGCGATTCCTGTTTAACTTTAAGTAAGTAAATTCAACACTACGTCGCTAATCCATGTTGTTAACGATTTGAATTCATAAATAACGAAACTTTCCAGGCGAAATCGTTAAATATTTACAAAAATTCTCTTTCAACTCCCTAGTATGTAATAATCAATTATGCGCGTTTAACTTTAAGAGGACCGCTTCGTTACGCACTGTCGCGACTTCGGACTTTTCCCGTACTTTAGTCACGGGTTTAGGATCGATCGGTAAATTTTTTCTTGTCACATCACACACCAGTCTGTGAATACACTTGTGTTGTTTTTTATCAAAAAGGTTCCCAAAAAAAGTATAGAGTACCAGTGAGTAAAATGGCATTTATAATCATGTTGCATAGTATACTATATTAACACTGTTTTTATTTCATTAGTACTGCCGCCACATAATAACGCCATATTCTGTTTTACTGTGTTAATGGCTATTTTCTCGCATTATATACAGTGATGAATTTGCATTAACAGCAAAATCATACAGAACTGCACAATTTTGCAGCTTTTTTGTACGCACCTCTTTAGAAAAATAACTCCTCAAGTGCCACAAAAAATGTATTCCAAATTTAACACTATTTCTGACACCGTAAAGATGGAAACGAAATACTAGGAATCATTGATACCACTATTGGGATACGTATACTTGCTAGGATAATATAATCTGCATTTTGTGTCCTAATAAATCATTTTATCTTTATATGAAATAACTTACATATAAATAATCGTGCCACATAGATTCTATCATTTAAAAGCTTCTGGAAATTAGAGTAGCGATTTAGAGTGTCATAGCAATAAAAGTTTTGAGCGAAATAAAATAAAAGCGTACAGGACGTATATAGCACAGTCAATGTTACAAAGTGAACCTTTAGAGAGATAAACAGATTTCAGAAACAATTGTTATACTTTATCACTTTACTACAACTTTCTATATAAAAGCTATAGCAACTTTTTTGTTATCATTTAGAACGTATTATGATTTTTGTAAAATGTATCAGCTCATTTTCTTTCTAGAACCACACTACTCTCAGTAAAGGGAGAAAAATTCTATTTTTTACTTACTTTGTTACACCCTGAGTATGTTACTGGTTTGACGACATCTCCGCGTGATATGAAAAATGAATCCTTTCTAAAAGGATTCAACACTGTGTCCATTTTAGCCATTTAATTTGGCTTTTATTCTTTTAAAGAAAATTACGGCACATATACAAAATTACGTTATGAGTTCGATACGTCATACTTCAAGGATAGATAGCAGATATTTTTAATTTTTAAGGAATGGGGGTCGCCAGAGAAATCCTGGATTATGCGAGACTAAGACGGCCGGAAAAGCGTAAAATTTCAAAAGACGATCTCCACCAAAACACTCTCCAAGCTTCAATGAAAGTACCCATTATTTTGATGCAGATTTTTGGGTTCTTTCCATTGGATGGAATTTGCGGACCGACTTACAAGTCATTGCAATTTAGATGGTTGTCACTGAAACTCCTCTATTCCGTTCTAAGCATAGTGGGTTACACTTTCAATTTCGTTTTGTATTGTCTTCATCTCAGCAGCCATATTGAGAATATTTTGGACATCAGTAAGTTGATTTTGTTTGCAAGTTGAAAAATGTTTTTTCATTTTGTTCATGACGAATTGTAAAATAGCAAACTAATTTCACATCACCCTTCATCAATTTTGAACGATCTTTTCAAATTCATCTAGCATATAAGTTCACAAAATTTAAACGAAATTCAATTTTTTCATAGATATCTAAAAAATGCTGAAACTTCTTGCTAAAATTGCTTTAAAAAAATCTATAGTTACATAAAAAAGTCAAAATTTGTGATAACTTTTTTGAAAAATTACGTAAAACTTAAGTCTCTTCATAAAATTTAGTAAGTTTGTTCATTAATACAAATTACAAAATCTTAAATTTTGCAGTTTTCTTACAAATTTTGTAAAAAATGTACCTTTAGAAAATAAAAAAAAATTAAGTAGTAAATTTAATAAAAAAATTGAATTTTCATGGAAAAATTATATGTTTCATTTAAGTAATTTTTAATTTAAGATCTGGGATTAATAAATCATTTTTTAAAAAACAGGTGAATACAATATATGAAAGGGCAACTTTCTATCTTAAATTAAATCAGAGATTCAGCCCCTATTTAAGCAGCCAATAACAGTCCATAAGTTTAGACAACATTTATAATACATGTATAAATGTATAAAATGGCCATTTATAATAGTTAATTTTGATTAATTTATGTGAGTTATGCAGTTAAATGCGAAATAATGTCCACAGTGACTTACATAGAATAAAACACTAAAACACATGTTCCGTTTATTTCAGATGCACTCTTCTTCCACATAGAATCGATAATCATGGCAATGTTGTTTTTGCATTTGGCAACGAAGTGGTCTCGTTTCGTGAAACAATGGCACAACGTAGAAATCGCCATGAAAAATTACGAACCGCCTCGAAACTTAAAACGAAAAATTTCGATAACATTGATCGTTTTCTTGGGAGTCGCTTTGGGTAAACTAATCAAGCCCAAGGTGCCCGCCGAACGCTTCAGATTAACTCGTCTACTTTTTTAGTCGAACACGGGATGATGGTCATCAACAGAGTAGTACTGTGCTTTAAGTTTTGCCACGGCGATTGGTATGCCGCGTGGTATGAGTACTTCGCCAATCGTACATTTTACGATGTTTTTATAGTTGTCCCCTACCGTGGGTGGGGCGGGGCTTTGTTACAGGTTTGTTTGAGTTTTCTTTTTCTAAATTTTACCAGAGATTATAAATATAGAAAATATTGAGAAAAAAGTGAACTCAGGTAGAACACTAAAAAATAACACAAGTTTCTATTTTTTGTCCACGGCTCCTTCCTACAGAAATGAATTTAGTGTTAAATGTTAATATTTTTTGAAAAATTATAATGTTAATTTGTTTTTTTTCTGAAAATAGTTTATTTTCTCATATAAAGTTTGTATACCTTTTTTTAAACAAAAAGGTTCAAGTCATCCAAAAATATTTTTTTTTGTCTTTGTAGGTAGTACTAAGAATAATACGAAAATCGATAAATCGTAATAAATAGTATTATTTTCGTGAGTGATTGTTCAAGGTAGGTATTTCTGTAGTTTATTATTATTATTATTCCTCTGATGGCGGTTTTTTCATCCTCATTTATTATAATTTCTTTTCTTTATGTACTACCCCGCGGTGACCTGATAGGTTTATCCTCATGCAGAAGTCGGTCTATTGTTATCCAATCATACTCTAAAACATTTCATCTATTTTTGCAACTCTAAATGTTGAGTTTTGGTGGCGAGGACCTTTGAATACATTGAGAATAATAGTTTTTAGAATGCAGTTTTACTAATCCGTTTCTCAACAATCTATCTACTTTCTTCTGTAATACCGATCTAGCGTGAGGAATATGTCATTTTACCAAGTCAGTTTCGTTTCCCACGGTTCCGAACTACTTTGAGATTCTACTTTTATTACTTTTTATTCAACTATGTTGATTTCTAACTGCTTCTCAGCAGAATCTGTTAGAAAAAATGATAGGAACTTGTTGTTATATTTTCGTGTTCCATCTGAATTCTAAAGATTTATCACATTTTCCCTGACACTCGTCTATAAGTTGCCTCACTCAGGGGACCGAAACATGGGGCAGCAATTACATTGAATAACATATTTTTCGCGCAATAAAAAATGAATAGAAAAAAACACTCCAAAGCTGTTTCAGATATTAACATTTTCCACATATCCAGTTATTCTTTTCCGTAATGCACTTCAAAGTTATACATGGTTTTCCAGTTCTTAATTGTTCAAAAAACCTTCATATGGAACTTCGTCGACATATTCGTAGTTTTGATCAGTACCTGCTTCACGGTTCGCTTGAAGCAAATAACCATCAAAGCAACGAGCTTATCCAAAACGCAAGTAAGTTTATCCCATCCATCCAACTGACAGTTTCAATTTCATTTATTTTGGGTGACGGACGTATACATCTGGAAAAACATCAGGGAAGACTATATCAAACTGTCAAAACTATGCGACTCCATCAACGACCACTTGTCTTGGTTCATCATGATCTCCTACGCGACCAACATCTACCACATTCTGTCCCAACTGTTTAGCAGTTTGAAGCCGAAAGAAGACGTCTTCGAGAAAATCTACTTCTTCATATCGTTTTTCCTGCTCATTATGCGAATTACGTCCGTTTGTATTTTCGGCGGCGGCGTCTACGACGAAAAGGCGGAGATTGCGAAAGTTTTGACATCGGTACCATCGTCGGTATACAATATAGAGGTACGTTTTGTCTCAAAGTATTTCGTTTTGGCTTTTGACTTTGAACGAGTTTTAAAAATATAAATATTTAATATTATATTATGTTTCATTAGGTATAATAAAAAAATAAAATAAATGTAAACAAATTATCAGTTATTCTTTAAATAGGTACATTTTTATTATATACAGGGTGTCCAAAAACAAATCGGAAAAGTTTAGGGGGTAATTCCTTACTTAAAATAAAGGGAAATGTCACGCTACAAATATTTCTGAAAATTATTATTGCCTTATAACATTGCTCAGTTAGTGATCAATCTATATATCTGTATAAAATAATATTCGTAATATAAACAACTTCGCAAATAGCACAATCGCTATTTTTTGGGTTTACTTTTCATTTTGATTTTTTTGATATTCGCTTCTATAGTGTGACGAAGCCGCTAGTCTTTCGCATACTTATTTTATTTTGGGACATTGAGTGATTTTCATAAACTCACATCGCGATATTTCGGGGAGTTCGAACAAAACTTTGGGTAAGTCGATTGCAGCCACCTTCTCTTAATCGTTTTGAGGCTGACCAGCCAAAAATACAGCCGACTTCGTAACATTTGGTCACTTGCGATGCTTATTAGCTTATAGTAAGAGACAGTTTTTTCTTATTTGACCGTTTTTTTGTTTTGGTGGTCAGCGTCCGAAAAGGCAGAATTGCTTTTTTCGTTGTACCCGCGTTTGACATTTAATTGATTTGCTCGAATCGCTCCACTTAAATAAATTAAGCAGGTAAATTATTTTTTGCTTCGTACCTTTTGAAAATAAATTCGAAATAAGTTGTGTATTTGCGCAATGCCCTCGGTATTTTGTTTATACTTAAATATACGCACTGGGTGTTTGTTTTACCAGCGCAAAGTTATTTCGATTTTGTGATTTAGATTTAGTACTCGCGTATTGCGATAAGTGCTGAGGATTTTCTTTAGCACTGACTGAAATAGCCTCTGAAAACTTTCGTCATTCTAACGTATTATTATTTCTGGTATACCGCAAATCAGGGTTCATTAGCAATTGTTAATCAGTGATCAAAACTGTCGTTTTTTGCGATAAGTAATTGCGGATGATTTTGTGTCCTCGCTCGCGAGTAAATACAATTTGATAAATCTGTTTAATTATTTGCTAAACAAATCCGTTTTTTTTTTTTCATTGTTTTTCATTTTTGCTCTGGTAATAGAGTAAAAATGTCTGAATAAAAAAAAATCAAAAGCACTTTACGCCAAGCGCGCGTCATGGTTGGAGTGAATTTTTTCTTTGGAGGCAGTAGCACAAGCCGCTGTATTGGACTCAAAAAATCTATTTAAATTTATAATGCGATACCAAGATTTAAGACATATAAGGGAAGAGTTTAATAGGGTTCACGACTCGTTAGTTGAAATATTGACAACCAGCGAAGGTGCTAACCTTTAAGTCGAGTCTGCTATATTGAATACTTTTGATGAACATGTATGTATGTATTCGGAAAAAGCGGTTGTTGCCCCAAACTTAAATCAAACTCAGACATATTTTCAGACTCCGGGTTCGTTCACCCTAAATTAGATATTCCTCATTTTGATGGTAGTTTGAAAGGTAGGCCTACCTACATTGAATTATTTACTGGAGTGTTTCAAAACAACATATTCTCAATACATATCTAATTCTGACTACTTATTTGTCGAAAATGTAGGCGATAATTATTTGATTGCATATGAGGCACTGAAAAATAGGTACAATAACCATCGTTTGTTAGACTCTCCTAAAATTAAACCAGATTCTGCAGAGTCACTCAGAAATTTATTAGATTGTGCATAGGAAAATTTGGAAGCTTTGAATGCGCTAGGACTTCCAACTGATAATGGTCATTTTCTAAAAAAATTAGATTCGACAACACTCAAGAGGTTTGAATTGGAAAATTTAAAATCATTTCATTTTCTTACGAAGCATACCAATAATAATAAGCATCAAAATAAACATTCTTTCTTTTCGAAATCCAACTCCAAAATTGCTTTCTGCTAGAATGTCCAGCATTCCTTAAAAAATCACCTCTCGATAGGTATTGTTTGTCAAAACAACGCTACTTATGCCTTCTGTGTTTGGGTTCATCCCATTTGTCATCGGACTTTGCACTATGCAAAGGCTAGACCTGCAAACGGTAGTCAGAACAAGTCAACTTACAGGTAATTCGAATTATGTCAGCACGCACAGCAATTCGACTCCAACCGTTGGCTTTACAGGTGAACCTCGATCGTTAATTTCGAAAGATATCAGTTCAACTGTGCTTTTATCTACTGCTTTAGTAGAGGTATCGGTAGGCTAGGCATGGAGGTTTTCATACCCCTAGAGCTTTACTAGATTGTCGAAGCCAGGTTAATCTTAAGATGTCTTAATATTCTGCCTGTTAAGTCCGTGCATACAGATCTCTCCATTCATGACTTCGGAAATCTGTCCATAAGAGCTACTGGCAAATTAACTCGCTTAGTCCGATCATCTATTCAAGACATACATGCCATAGAGGTGGATTTTGTTGTGGTTGATAAGATTTGGTCTGCTATGCCTGAAAGATACATTTTTAAAAAAGCTGTACCTCCATGTCGAAATATTAAGTTAGCTGATCCTCACCTCGGATGTTTTTCCGAGAATTATTCTTCCCGGTATTGTCGTTGGGGCAGAGAATTCGCCTGCTTTGATCAATACGATTTTTGGTTTCGCTTTTATTGGAAAACTATCTGAGCCATTATGTCCACCTTCAACTTCGTTCTGTGTGTTCATTGACACTTCAGCTAGACTAGACGTAGACTTGAGACTCTGGGAGTTGGAGGATCTTCCGGAGGTGCCCTTTGATTCTCCAGAAGATCTGGCTTGTGAGAAGCACTTATTAGAAAATTATTCTCGGCACCAGTATGGTCGGTTCACAGTGGCTCTTCCCTTTAAGGGTCCAGAATTTGGCGATTCGAGAGAGATAGCACTTCGTATATTTTATTCTCTAGAGAGATTTGCAAAAGATCCATCGCTGCATCGTTCATACGTCGCATTCGTAAAAGATTATTTGGACTCTGGGTCTATAGAGAAAATTTATGATGAATCTTCTGGGGAGGAGCCCTCCAAAGGCCACATCATCCACTGTTTAAAGCGGACAGTACCACAACTACTTTTCGACGCATCGTGCAAGGTTTATGGTACCTGCTTGAATGAAACTTTGTACTCTGGGCGAAAGCTGCACGCAATATTCTTATTAAACTTTCGGGGACACAAATTTGCTTTTTCCGCTGACATTAGACAAATGTACCTTCAAATCGCTTTAGTGCCCGAAGATTATAAATTAGTGACACTTTGTTTTGGCGTCGTTAGTAGTAGCTTCTTGGCGCTTCATTGTGTTGCTCAATTAGCCAAAAATGAAAAATTAAACTTTCCCGAAGCTCACATGGTCCTGGAGTCAGACATTTATATCGATGATGTCTGCACTGGTGGTTCTACTTTAGAAGGTGCTCTACACCTGCATTTGCAACTGACTGAGGTCCTGAAAATAGGGAAGTTCACATGCTAAAAATTTGTATGGATTTTCATCGAGTAAAAGCCACCTCAGTCCAATTCTGGCTGAATTGCCATATGTTCCAGTGGCTAAATAATAGGTAAGGCAAAAAACCTACAGAAAAAGCTATTTTATTACAACTGCAGGGGGTTAATCTAAACATCCGGTACTAGTTTACATTGTCTTCGAATATAAATTTGACAGCAATTCATATTGCATTAATATACAAGTACGCGATCGGTGCAATTCCATCACAAATAACTCGATGGAGGATGGCACGGCTAATAATTATACTGATTTCATATTCTTCTAGCTTCCTTTTCAGTTTATCCAACGTAGGAACAATCTGGTTTTGATAAAGCGAATATTATTTTCATCTTATTATTCACTACTATCCAGACGGTGAGCTTGAGAATCACTATAGTTGTCTCTTTCATTCAATAATTTGCTGGTAATTTATCTCGGATATCGATGTTTCTGCAGTTTATGGCAATATAGTTAGAAAGAAACTAATATTAAATTTAAATGAGGTTTTACGAAGGTCATTCTCTCTATGCGCTAAACATTCTTTGAAATAATGGTGTTCAATGTTGATATTACGTAAGAATCACGAAAATTAATTTTTATTTCAAATTTGGTTAGTTTCTTTCCTAATATGCGAAAAAGAAAGAGTATGCATGGTGCACTATTTTTAACAAATCAATAAACCGTGGTCCGTCAAAAACCAGACGATATAATTTGAGACACACTTTACTAACACACAATTTCCATATCAACCCCAGCTTAGACGAATGTGTTTCAGGTAGAGCGTTTCATTACCCATCTGGCAACTTGCGAAATGGTTCTGACCGGGAAAAACTTCTTCAGGATTACCAGAAATTTAATACTGCAGGTTAATCTACACATACCTTGGCCTTGTAGGTAATGATTATGTTGCGTTTTACAGATAGCAAGCGCGATAGTATCGTACGAACTTGTGCTGATCCAGTTCAACCTAAAAGATTTTAAAAATAAAAGTAACTAAGCGATTTTTTTATTTTTGGAGGTCTCTCTTGTCTAGCAATAAATCCTTATCAGATTTTTTTTTCATTTTCCCTTGATTCCTTGTGTCAGCTTCCTTTTTCTCAAAATGGTTTTTGCGGAAGAATAAAAAAAAACCTTTCAAATTTTGCAGTTTTTATTATTAAATTTTAGAATCACCCACTCAGCGCCGCAGATTTTTTTTTATCAAATATAATTTGCACTTGTCCAAAACCCAAACGTAAACATTGGCGCTAAAAAAACATTTGACGTCCACCTTGACGATGATATGTGGTACACACACATATTTTCATTAATGTTAATATCGACATGACCTGTTAACGATCATCGAAAAATAATCACCTCGGTAGCGACCATGGCGGTTGATAATTACAGTCTTATTTTAATAAAAATTACGAAAACATGCATCGAAAAATATTTTGACGGCCTCTGATGACATACGGACATCGGTATGGGTTTGAAAACGTCCGAAATGAATTAGACCGATTAGAATTATGACCGAGTATTTTGAAAAATCCTCGTGGAAAATCAAAAACCGTAAGAGTTTTTGCCCGAAAATATTGTACGGACAAAATGCCTTCATCAGAATTACTCGCGTTCCCCTAACTTTGATGCAATGGGCCGGCATGTTCCCTTTGTGCGGGCTGGCAGGATCAAACTCAAAATGCTTAAAATTTTCATGGGTTTCTTTCAGCACTTTGTATACAGGTCTAGCATTTACGGGGCACCTCGTAGCAATAATTTGCGAATTCTTAGAAAGGAGTTCAAGCGATTCCGTCGGAGAACTCAGTAAGTAGACTGCTTTACATTACTTTTATGTAAATATGGAAAAATGATGTTAGCCGGCTTATTCTCACAACTTGAGACCATAGTGTTGCTGATACTTTTCATACGCCTGGCTAGAAAATGGCCAACTTTCGTTGCCACGTGGGAACGAACTGAAGAAACTCTGGAAATGTACGGAAGGCCGAAGCATCTCACAGCAAAGATTTTTGCCACCATGTTAGTATTTCTATTGGTCAGGATTTGTGAGTGGAACGGCAAATTATTGTTTATTTATTAATATGATTTTCAATGTGATTTTTAGTAATTATATGTTGTGGATTGATTCCACCTGTGCTGTACGAAATAAAACTGCCAACTGATCATTTTAAACTACATCCGATGGGCTTCTTGGTCGAGATCTTCAAGAAGGTAACGGGAAGCGTGATTCATTAAAGACAACGCATACAATTTTCCTTTTAGTGGATATATTTTCAGAAAGTTATCGTTATCACATTCGCAAAAATAATTATAATGGTCGTAGGTATAGCGTTCACGTCCAGAATTGAGCAAGTGAGAAAGAGGGTATCGTTTCTTACTAGATTAAAGGTAACTGCCAGCTATGATAGTGTTAAATAAATCTTTAAATTAGGAAAGTGAACCAAAAATTTGTACTCTATGTTTAATGGCCTTTATTTATATTTATTATACCTAATTTTCAATTTTGTCGTCATATTGACTATTTTCTTATCTTTCATATAAATTAATTTTAAACTTCATTTATTTCTTTAATAGCCACTTACGCTCGCCAAGAATAAGTTTCTAAACTATTAAAATGAACTAAAAGTTGTCACTGAACTTGTTAATCTCCATTTTCTTTATTTCCGCAAAAATCTATATTTCGTTTTGTTATTTATTTTATATTATATTTATTTAACTTCTTTTTTATTCCGAATTGTTCTGAATTAGTTACTATCAAAATGCACTAAAATTTTGCACTTTGCGTTTAATGACATAAATTTTTTTCATCTTCGTATAAATCAAAGTTACTTTACTTTACTATTTATTTGATATTTTTCAAAGATTGCATAGGTTACTGCAATACTCCACAGTTAAATCGAGCTCGCCAATCATCCTTTAACTTTTTCAGAGCTTAACTGAAGCTGACTTGTATTCTACCTGTTTCTTTCTACCTTTGTTCCTCTTTATATACTTTCCAAAGAAAATGAGTCCGAAAGCTGCTACTGTTGCTACTGCTGCTGCTGCTACTTGCTACTGTGCATTCAAAATATCAGTGACTACATATAATATAATGTTAGACCATATCCATCCACCTTATCTATAAAAGACAAAGTTCCGTTTGGGATACTAAAGCACCGCATATGCGGCAAAGAATATCATTGAAGAGACAGGACACACCAAAACGACTACGCTGAAGAACATAAGACGACAACAAATAAACTCATCAGCAGTTGTCGAACACAATCAAATATTAGATCAAACTAAAATTCTAAAATTTAATAATTTTTTCTAAAAAAGGAAAACACGAGAATCCATAAAAACCCAGATTTGTGTTGTCACTTTTCACCATTTTGAAATATTGTTTCATTATTTATTTCATGTTTTATCTCTTTAAATGTTGACAACAGACCTGAGTCGCGGTGAAGATTGTTTGGTTGCTTATAGATTTCCATAGATTCTCGAATTTTTCTTTTCCATTTTACCTTTAAAAAATAAAATTTGATGTCGGGTTTCGTCCGGGCTCTACAATGTATTCTTTGCAGCATACGCATGGAATGCTGTAAACTCCTGTTATTTTAAACGGAATTTTGCCTTTGACGGATAGAAGATGTTGAGAAATTTTTGGACAAGTAATAAATCTGACGTTATATTTCTTAATAACATTTGATACGTAGTCAGTGACAAAATGTAAAGAAGGATAACGCTGGCATGTCTAGGAATAGGAGACGCGGGAGGAATTCAGGAGATTTGTAAATAGTATTACAGTGGCCTGTGGAAGTTTCTTTGAAAAATTATTTTGGCTTTATTAAGATTTGTTATAAAAAAAACTGGTGCACAGTTTATAGATAACTAGGTAATGGTCGTAGGGCAAAATGAAAAACTGAAATTAAATAGGTTTTTTTATATTTTCTAATATATATCCTTTAGATAGACAACTTGGACATATGGAAACGAACAAGAGAAGAATACGCGAATCTCACCAAATTGTGCGAATCGTGTAACGACCACTTATCCTGGATAATTATGGTCTGTTTCGCAGCAAGCATGTACTTTGTACTCATCAGCTTCTTCATTGCAATTTCGGCTACTACTTTCAATACTCAGCAAAAGGGTTTTACGACTGGACCCTACGTTCTGCTTCAATTGTTAGCCATTTGTCTCGTTGTGGGGAAGATTCACGATGAAAACGAAATTCTTATCGATTTCTTGCACTCCGTGCCTTCTTCCATCTATAACTTTGAGGTGCGTGAGCAAGTCACTAGCAAACATCCTAAGTTAACCTACAAGTCACCCATAAATGCCCATTTCTTGCTTTAAATTATTATAAAGAAATAGTTAAATCAATCTATTAGTATTATATCCCAATATTGAGTGTGCTGTGCGCTTAACTTAATTTTCTCATGGATCTGCTATCCCCTATTGAATGCATGCTGCAACAAACGAATTACACACTTTAGTGAACGCACGCACGGTATAAAACCCCTTAACCAAAAACACATAGTCTAATTTTTAGGTGGAAAGATTTTTAACCCACGCTAGTCTGAGCAACTCGGTGTTTACCGGGATGAACTTCTTTAAAATTAAAAAATCCTTAATATTGAGTGTAAGTATTGGCATGGGTGCTCTTTGAAAAGAAGCATACAAGTTTTTGTTTCAGATAGCGCACGCGATCATCACCTACGAACTGGTCATAGTTCAATTCGTACTTAATTTTAGAAATGTTAAATGAGTTTGCTTAATATTTAACACTGATCACCAATACAGTGTTTTAGCTTGTTTTTTAATAATAGCAATAATTATTATTGTTTAATTATATAGAAAAATACATTTAATTATCATCATATTAAATTATCATTTCCCAAAAACTAATCCTAATAAAATAATCCTAAAAGATAAATAATTATTTCCTAATAAAGAAGTCAAACTTAGGTATCACATTTAGACTGCAATGCAATAATAGCTATATAAATAAGCAATTTCATCAAAGTGAAAAATTAAACAAAATAAACTTTTACAGTTTTGTTTTAAAAATAAATACAGAATAATTAATAATCATAATTTTTGTTGCTATATAAATTTGATTGGTCAGCGTAGGTAACTAACCAAAACTGTTGTTATTTTTATATCCCTATATTAATTTATTGTTAAAAATTCCCTTGTCGAATAAGTGTATATATATATATATATATATATATATATATATATATATATATATATATATATATATATATATATATATATATATATATATATATATATATATATATATATGTATTAAACATTTTTGAACAAGTTTGATATTCTTCCTTATTTCTTATTATGTATTATTCAAATCTTCAAGGAAGTTAAGAATTCTTAGCCCTACAGCGCAATATTTGGAATGAATGCCAGTAAATGCAACGTAATTTAAAAACCATCATGACGAACGTTTCACCATTTATTCGGTTTTACTTTTGTTGTTGTTCCGTTTAGCTTGTCAGTAAGAAACCGATTATCAAGAAAAACAACAATTAAAACAACAAACAGACGAAGCAAAAACAATCCGCGCAGAGCAAACAAATTTATTTTTTACCTCGAAAAAATACCAAACATAATCTCTTGGAATTGTTTGTACAAGCTTAGTGCTTTCTCATTAATATCGAATCACGTACAGGGGATAGATAAGATCAGCCTGATGAATTGATCCGAAAAATTGACAGTCGAGCCGGTAAGCTCTTTCGCAAAACGCCAGCGAAACGATGAGAGTTTTAAGAAAGATCCGCTCCAACACATCCTTGACTATTGAACAGGACGATCCCATTACCATAGCAACGCCCACGTTTCACGAGAGTATCCGATTCGCTTTGGTGATGGCTCAGATTTTTGGAATCATGCCTCTATACGGGACGACAGGTATAATACATTTTTTTAAAAGTCGAAATCATTCGCTTATTAAACTCTACGGGTATCTGCGGTACCTATCTATATCCGAAAATGCGTCCTTACGAAACAGCATGTTTCCAAGATATAGAGTGTTAAATATTCAAACAGCTTGTGTTAACTCTTTAGAACTAATTTTATCATTTATCAAAATCGCTTTTCGTTTTTATTTTTCTGTTCAAAAACAAAGTAAGTTAAGACTTATTCGAAGCAAATAACAAAAATTGCAAAAATGTCGTCTTTTGCACCGTGTCCGTGTTTTGCCGGGCGTCTCATTATATCTGTAAGTGTAATCAATCTTTCGCTTTTTTATTGTCTAGAGTATTTTTAACTCCTTATTCATTTGGAGAAGTGCATCACTGTTTCTTACCTTTCCCCCCCGATATACCCACACTTCAAATTTGTCGCTTCTCAATACTGTTTCTTAATGTATCTCGCGGGTGAGGCTCCTGGTCTTCACAATGTTAATCTAGTTAGAGCTAAATTAGCTCTTTGTCAATATAAATGAGAAAATTCCTACAAAATTTGGAAAAAAATAATTAACACAATGTTGCAAAAAAAAACGTTTTTTCAAAATTTTTAACACTATCTTGGAAGTTAAGCATTTCTAGAACTATAGCACAACTCATTGTTTTGGTGAATCTATTAATCGTTTAGGATATTAAAGTCGATTACTTTAAATGCATCTTCCCATGTAAAAGGTAACAACGCTTTTAACATTATGTCCAAAGGATAGTGTAACTCATAATTCAACACGTTTGGGTAATTTTATATAAAAGAAACTAGGGTAGGGGGGCTACTATGTCAAAAAGTGCATCCATCTCTAAATTTCAGACAGGCGCATCAATCCATTGCTGCAATAAATTCATTAAATCAGAAACTAAATTCAATCAATGCAACAAATCCTCAATCTTCCTAACTAAACTATTCTATTTAAATTAAGTGTTTGTGACTTTATGTTAGAACAAGAATAACTTGACGACCAATAACAAAACCAATAAGCAATATTATAAATATTCCAGCAATTATATAAATAATCGGGAACATTTAGGGCCCGGGTATATTAATAAAATATCCTAGCAATGACAATTTATGCATTGGACAATGACTAAAATTCTAATATCTAATTATTTTTTACGTTTGGCGATATATGTATTTGCCACAGTATCTCAGAAAATTTTACTATTTTTCATATAGTGCCACAACAACCAGAAGATGGCGATACAAAAAGTGAAAAAATATACATGTTCTCTCTTGCATGGTGCAAGTTTTCTATCAGGGCTAAACAGAAAAATTACTCTTTTGGAAGAATATCAAAATTAAAATGTAGATTTGAGATTTTTAATTTTATTGTGTTATTGTGAGTTATTCTTTAATCTGTTTAGACCCCTAGTTGCCAAAGTCGTTCAGGTAGATATATAGTCTGCTAGAAATATAGCTGCAGGGGGTACACCGGCACCACCTAAATTTGGTCTCTGAGAAAAAAGTCTGGAACCACTACACAGGTTTAAATCATATGGCTATTGATTAAGAACTGGGAAATAACATATTCACTAAAATCTGTCAAATTGACCACCTGTCAACGGCCTCTTATTGGAATTGCAAATTATAGGTGCGATTGGTTAAAAACGAGACGTTAAAGGACTGCGCATGCTAATTGAACAGCTCTTACCAATATTTTTTACATGGTGGCTTCAAAAGTTTCCGGTATTATCACCATACTTAATATATTAGTGGATTGAATTTCAAGAAAAATGCATCATATTTTTTTCTCCTCTGTTTAAATGGAACACAGTTCTTTAAATCTGTATCAAATTTCACGCAAAAATAAATCATCTAAATTTTATATAATTTGAATTTAAATATCCAGAAAGGAAAAAATCTGCAGCAGTAATATCTGCCATTCAATTGACCACCTTCGACCAATCCACTGTACGGGAAATACTGCATTTCAATATTTAATGGGTGGGGCGGAGCACCATCATGTCAAAAACAAATGTGTCTATCTAGCATATTAGGCTATATGGTTTTGGGAAAGAAACTGCGAGAGTAGGGATTTTGAAGAAATTGTAAAATAAAGGGCTCCACTAAGATGTTGATCGAAGAAATTAGATCCAATGATTTATTCAAAATCAAAATGTTGTGTAAGATGTTTTTGTCTTGTAATCGGTTTTTCTCGATATTTTGCGTAAAACAAATCACAAACTTCTTGTTGAGTTCTCATTTTTGTCTACATATCCAATAAAAATTAAAAATTCAATTTACTGGGTTTCATTGAGATGCTTTCTTTGCGGATAGAAATGTAATTGAAACAATTGAAGAACTTTACAAGCTACTTACTACTAAAAATTAAATTTATGTTTTTTATTGTTTTGCTTATAAAATGTAAGAGATAGGGTATTCTACATGAGTTATGCGTGAAATTTGACACAGAATTCGAAAAAGGTTTAAAAAAATCATGTCCCATTTAAAAATAGGAACTTGGTATCGGTATATACTTTTTACCCACCCTGTATATTTTGTTTGATGATGAACTTGTGCAAGAATTTTTCTTCAACTATATTTTAGTAATTCACAGTATATCTAGCAGCTATATGCTTTAAACCATAGAGCTATTAGATCATATAGTGGCCCCACTATGGTAAAAATTGATCCACCGCAGGCGGTACAAATATTTTCGTAGAGAAGTTAATGATTTTCCGTGCATGTACTCACTAACCCGCAGTTTATTTTAAAAAAATGCGGCCACAAACATGCTGCATCCACACTTATTGACGATCTGTCAGCGGCCATGTCGCTGGTTGAATACCACAACGTCATTGGTTGAAAAAGAAATTTTAAATATCGCTCATGCGCATATTGGATGGACATTCTCAATTTTTTTTTTCATAGTTCCAGTTCCCGTATAATCAGCATATCCCTAATAGCTATATGATTTAAACATACGTCATTTTTGTTTGTAATATACTTTCGAAAACCCCTAACTATTTAAAAATTTCACTATTTGTCCGATTTTAGTGGCGACCACGAAAAAACTCCAAGACATTAAGTTCGAGTGGGTCAGCTTGAAGATGGTTTTCGCCCTGTTTCACATCATCGGAACCCTAGCGGCTGGGGTATTCTGCATGTTAAAAATGGCGCTTCATGGTTTCGTGATAGACGAAACTGGTGGGTATTACAATATGGCGTCAATCTCGCTAATACGATGTGATCGCTTTTCAGCCATAATGGTTTTCTACATGATGAACGGTTTCTGCGCGATTCATTATATTTATTTGGCAGCAAAATGGAGAACGATTTTGAAAGAATGGACCTGCGTGGAAATATCTATGAAAAGTTATAGGAATGCGAAGAACGTAAAACGTATCAACATTTTTACCACCGTCGTTTTCATGTTTTTCGGAATAAGTAAGCCGTATAGTGAACAAAATAGTTTCGAGTTTCAGTTAAGCTACATCAGAGGTAGAATGCTTGCAATTCTTTTCCAATCAACCAACGAAATTTCACGTTTTAAGTGCAAAAATAGTTTTTATTTGTGGTTTCGCGATCTGTCCACAACCGTGTGTTATTTTTGTTTATTTATAAATAAGTTTTTTTTACTTTTCAATTAAAATAATTTGTATAATTTGTTTTAGTCGAGCACACTCTTTATATATTGTCCGCGGTGCAAACCGCATCGAAATGCGACAATTTCAAGAAACACCCGGTAGAAATTTATTTCGGATGTTCGTTTCCCCATTACTTCACCCTCCTGAGCTACAATCACTGGGCTGCTGCCGTGGTAGAGGTGGATACTAATATTTAAATTAATCTAATTTTTCGTAATACTATTTAAAAATCTTCTGCATTCCTCAACAACCGACACAGAAGGAATCCAGAAGGTAGTGTCTCAGATTTATTTCAATTTTTTGTTTCTTCTCTTTCAGTTTTCGAATTTTCTGGCTACCTTCACTTGGAATTTTACCGACCTCTTCATTATATTGATTAGTATATCACTAAGAGAGAAATTCAATCAAATAAGTGACAAAATAAGGCAATCTAAGGTGATTATTTTAAAAAATAGGTACAGTACTCACAATTAAATAAAAAATACGCGCAAAAAAAAGTAGAACTAGAAAAGTTAGTTATATTTTGCGCAGTGTTCGGGATGTTAGGCACAGATTCGAGTGTCTTCTATGCTAAAAGGACCTTGATAATGCTTTAACATACTTAGTTTAATTTATAAGAATTTATAAGGTGTGTGTTTTAGAACGTGCACGACAAATTTTGGAAAACGATTCGAGAAGATCACTTAAAAGTCTCGAACTTGACGAGAGCAATGGACAGCCACATCGCCGCCATCGTACTTTTCAGTTTCATTAACAATATCTTTTTCCTGTGCATCCAGCTTTACAACAGCATAAAGTAAGTTGTCAATTTCGCCTATAAGAAAGTCATATAACATAAAATAGATACGCTGAATAGCTATAGAGGCGTTATCTATACTGGTAGTAGTTCTCACCATATAGGCCAATAAATAATTCAATTTATCTATATTGTACAGGGCGTTCCATTTGGGATCCTTTTGCGGAGCATCTCCGTTATTTGTATAAATAGAAAGTTGCGGTTTTCGCGACAGTGTACTTCTTTTTCGTGAAACTAAAGATGCCGTTAACAAAATTTTCACAGCGCTTTTACTTTTTAAGGTACCGAGCTAAATTGCAAATATCTCCCTCGTATCTCAACGTTAACTTAAAGGAAATGTGAAAACGCGCTCACATAATTTCCCCGTAGAACTCCGCCTTCGGAAGTAGTACACAGAGCCAAATCAAAAATGTTTTTTGACAAACAAATTAAATGCATAATATAATAGTAGGCTATGACAAAATTCAATGTCAAATAGTTTGCCTCATTTCTTTGGGTGTTTTCGATATATGCCGGTATGTTTTATAAAGGGTAATGAAAATTCAGAAGCAGCTTCGGAATTATATTTGCATAGGCAAGTAAGCTATTATCTCTGTTATCTTCGTAAATTTGGGTTTGTAAGATACCAAGAACAAAACTCGATTTTTTTGAGATTTTGCACAGATCATTTGCTCACCCTCATCCTAAAACAGACAACAACGAAAACAGGGAAATAATCGTAGAAGTAAATGTAGAAAAATTGAGAATGAAATTAATTGTTGTGCCAAAAAATGACGGTGAAGGTGCGGGCATTTTCAATATTAAGAACTGTAGAAGTAAGTAAGTTAAGAAGTAGAAGTGAGAAACAGAAATAGTATTTTTGAACGAGGTCTGAGAAAGTTATACCAGAACTGCTGGAGAAAATTCCATTGGCCCAGTATAATATTGTTTACCTACAGCACAATATCTATCGAACGAACCTATTAGATGGCCTCCGAAATTATATGTATATGTATATATATATATATATATATATATATATATATATATATATATATATATATATATATATATATATATATATATATATATATATATATATATATATATATATATATATATATATATATATATATATATATATATATATATAATTTCTACCCGTCGAGTGTAAGGATGACATTTCTATATGCAATTTAGCTAACTATCTATAAAAAGTCTTTTCTATTTAGTGCCAAATTTTTAGCTTCTACCCACGTTTGTCCCCTGTTTTGTAAAATCTTTCCCAATGTGCTGTCCCACGTTTCTCTGGCTCTTCCTCTTTTCCGTTTTCATTTTACTCTGCCAAACTGTTTTAACCGCTACAGTGCTGTCCAATCTCTGTAAATGGCCCCACTAGCCAAGTTGTTTCTTTTCTATGAATTCTTCTATGGGTTCCACCTTTCACTCTCCTCAAGAAACTCATCTCTGCCGCTCCAATTTTGCTCTTGTGCATATCTGACAATATCCAAGACTCGGAGCCATATCTAAGGATTGGTCTGTAAATTGTTTTGTAAACTTTCATTTTAGTTTCCTTGGAAATCTCCTTTTTATTTATGAGCCCCGTACTCAATGCATAGTAGATATACCTTATTTGCATTTTCTTCTCTATTATTTAATTCTGTATCCCGTCCTCCTGTTTCTTCGAACATAATTCCCAAGTACTGGAAGCTACTAACTTGTTCTATTAGTGTCCCATGTATTCTCACCTCTAATTTCTCCTTTTCGTTTGACACTGCCATAACTTTGGTTTTATTTATGTTCATTTTCATTCCGTTTTTTGTTATTATTTAGATCCTTCGAGGTTCTTGCTCTGATCGTTATATCATCGCAAAGGTATTTTGATCGCTGTTCGAGCATTCTAATTAGATTGTCCATATAAGTTATGAATAGTAAAGGGCTCAAACTAACCCCCTGTCTCACTCCTTCTTGTGTTGCCTTTGATTTGATGTTCTTACTTTTGATGTAATTTCTTGTTTAGTTGTCAAAACATTTGACAACTTTTATTAGTTTATTGACAACGTTTCTGGATTGTAGGCTTTTCCAGATTTTTATTTGCGGTACTTTATCAAACGCTTTTTCCATATCTAAGAATCTAAGCATGCTACTTTAGATCTTGCCAATTTTCTCGAAATTACTTCTTTTAAAGTGAACCCATGATCGTGGGTACTTCTGCCTTTCCGGAACCCACTTTGCGTTTCTGTCAGAGTTGGTTCTACTTTTGATCGTAGTCCGTTTTCAACTGTTTTCTCCTTTTTTGTGCAGTGGTAGTATTAGACCCATTTTTCAATTTTCCAGTATCTTTTCTTCTACCCATACCATATTGAAAATTTTTAACAATAATGTGGTCGCTTTTTCTCCGATGTTTTTTAGCATCTCAGCTGTACTCTTATGCTCACCTGATGACTTGCCGTTTTTTAGCTATTTCTCTTCTTGCTCAACCATTTTTACTACCTTGGTATTCAAGCTTTTTGTCATTTGTTTTATTTTCGAAATGCAAAATATTCTCTCCAGTGCTCCATTATATCTGCTTCCGTTGTTAGTATTTCACCTGCTTCGTTTTTAATTGGCATACTGTCTATTTTTTTATTTTTTTCGAAGACCTTTCAGTAATTTGTAGAAAAGCTTTTGATTGGTTTTGCTATCTGACTCTAATTTCCTTTCATTTTTCTTTCGAAAATCGATGAAATCAAATTTTCGAAAGTATCTGCGCTCGTATAAAAATTTTATATCTCGTTAACGGTAGGTCCTATGCGATCGCCGTTGGTACAGAAATGATCACCGTCGAAAAAAAAATTTTTTTTGTCTGTTTGTCTGTTCTCCGTTCTCCGTTTTTATCTTCTGGTTTTTCCTGGATAACTTTCGAACCGATGGAGCTACAAAATTGAAATTTGCCTCCTTTTTAGCCCTCCACGAGGCACGCTTGTAAGAAATGGTCCTGATCCGAGGGCGGTATCCATATTTTTTTCGAGATTTTCGACTGTTTTTTGGACCTTGCTATGAAACACGATAAGTGTCCGAAATTTGAAGCAAATATTTGGCACATATATGCAGCTTTGCTCCGTGACGGAACCTGTTGAAAATGGAAGGGCTGGGGGATCGGGAAGTATTTAAAAAAAAAAATCGCATGTGCAAGAGTCTACAAAAAAGACCATTTCTCAAAAACCGTTTACAAGACCGGAAAAATTCTTGAACCAGAAGACGCAGAGGAAACGACTCCGTAAACTTTTATTCAAATAATTTTTCAAAAATATACAGGGTGCGCCGCAAATTCAAAAAAACTGAAAAATGGGTCCCCCTATTATTGAAAATTGGTTAGAACTGAAAGACTATGATTCAGATCTCACTTTCTTTTATATTGCGATATAGCCCGCATAGACAGCCAAATTTTTTTTTATTTTATATTCCGTGCTAAATAAGAAATGTATTAAGTGTCCTAAATTTACAGATATCACCTTCAAATATTGCAGAGAAGTAAAAATCCGTGTCCATATTTAAACGGTAGAATTTGGGCGCAATTAAATTTTACGAAGTATTTTTTAAAAATGTTTGAATTTTTTTGTTTTTGGCAATTTTGGCTTCAAGAATATTTTTTCCTCCATGATCATTCATCCGATCGGCAAAATTCTTTAACCGGCAGATGCAGAAGCTCGAAAAATTCTTGCACTAGGACGCGTGGAAAATCCAGGGCTATAACCTTTACTTCGAACAATTTATCATATACAGGGTGTGACGTTTATGGCCAAAAAATCTAAAATATCCTAAAAATTTCCGTTTTTGTGGGTAAATTATTGGCGATAAATGAAAAACCGTTAAAGATGGGATAATTTTATTTGAACAGTATCGTAAACCGTTTCGTGAGAGAGTTATTTGAAAAAATATCATTCGACAACGCTATTATTTGTTCAAATTTTCATATTTTCCGATGTTTGCTGTAACTTTGAAGTTGAAATGTCCTTCATTTTATACAGGGTGCATGCACAATTAAATTACATCGATTTTTTGAAACTTCCATAGTGGTCTACAGGAGCACGATAGAAAAACAATGCATCCCTTTACCACACGAAACTGCGAAGCTCTTTTATAATAAAAAACTGCTTCGAGCTACGCGCTACGAACTTTCCCCGCCCACTTTTTTTGTATTTGGTAGTTTTTTCATTTTTCGAACTTTTCAGTTCTTTTGTTATGCCCCCATTCTTCACCATCCACAGTTGAATTTTTTTCTGCTTTTCTTCCCCTGTTCTCACCCTTAAAATTTTTTGTACGTCTATTTCTGTCTTAGTAAGGTTATTGTTAATAAATATGGGGCGGGTGTCCTGATTCTGTTTATGCTTATATTTTTAGCTCTCATAATGACTTCCTTTTCGTGTGCGTTCTATGCCTTTTCGATGTTAACCTCTTGTTTTAGATACTGTTTCAGAAAGTTTCCCATAGTTTGTTTAAGTAAAATTGGATCTCTGGTATCAATTGGTAATCCATTCACAACACTTTTATTCTCTATTTTTGCCCTTTCAAGTCTTTCAAGCGTATTTTTCATTTCCAAGAGTTCTTCTCTTTACTTCATATATTCATTTTGAATTCTTATTTGTTCCAGTTTTAAGCTATTGTTATCTTCTCTCAGTTTTTTGCACTTCCTCTCTGTATTCTCGTTAGTCTCTTCTTATTTGCTTTTCTTAATGTTTTATATCTCTTATTTGTTGCATTTCTCCTTTAATTCCTCTCAATTCTAGCAGAAACAAATCCCATTTGTCTTCGTTGGTGTCGGGCATCTTGCTCGGGGTTCTATTGCTTTTTTCACACCTCTCAAAGATAATAGGTTCATCTCTTTTTCTTCTCGCCTCATCAGTTATATTACCGTTGCTGTCCATATTTACTCAGTAATTATTATCTTTTTGTTTTACACAATTATTCGCAAGCCCACACTGTTTGGAATTTCCTTATCCAGTATTCACTGCGCAAAAAGTGGTCGGTCGGTCTACCCGTTGAACCTTGACCTTTATCGGTGAATCCGGATTTTACAGATTTAATATTATTGCTTGCCCAATTATAAACTTTAAAAGCTAATCTTGCATGGATTGTCTTCACGATGCTTTGTCGTACACCCTATGCTTGAACTGTAATCACTTAGTCAATCTATTTGCTCGTAATTCTTTAGAAATTTGGAGTTAATTACTGAGCAATAATCAAACTAACTTTATCGTTCCTCGCCAGTAGAAAAGTAGAAAATAAAGTATATAAATCACGAAATGACAGCATAGCAACATAACTTCGAGAACCAATTCATTTAGCTTTCAAAATCTGCGAATAAGACAAATGATTCTTTTTAAGGCTATTCAAAGGATTATAAAAATGTGCCAGTTTTGCATTAGAGAAAATGGTCATCTATTTAAACATTACTTTTAAAAATTTGCTTTTTTTTTATAATTTAGTTTTTTTGTGTTTTGTTATATTGTTATTTAATGCTTCAAAACTGTTGTTGCAAACTTATTGTTAATGTAAAATTTCAAAAGGTGTCTAATTCTTCGTTAGCAATCTTCAACTTCCAATTGTTTATTATTGTTATTTATTTCTTCTACTAAAGTAAGCATTTATTTTGGAAAATTGTCATTTATTTGCTTATTTCTGTTTCTGTTTATAGTCTATAAATATATCCTGTATAATCACATTTCCGATAAGTTATTTGATAGTTGAAATGCGAGGGGTGTCCGAAAATGCAATATTTTTAGTTTAGCTCAGTATCTTAAAAACTAAAAGGGCTGTGAAAATTTTGTTAACGGCATCTTCAGTTTCACGAAAAAGTAGTACTTACACCGTCATGAAAACCGCAACTTTCTACCTATGAAAATAACGGTGATTTTCACATTAGCTGCGGCATTTTTTTGGGTCGTATTATTTTTTCAAAATAGACTTATTTATGTACGTGGATTACTGCTCAAAAATAGGCCTATATTCAGTGTTCAACTTCATATAGGTACTAGAGTCCCTGTCCGTACCGATAGAACAGGAACTTTAGAAGCGACGATGAAGAAAGGTTGATGAGGCCATTGAATATGCGCATGTGCGGTGTTTTCAAATTTTGTTTTCAACTAGTAACACCTCTCATTTCAAACGAACCAATAAGACCTATAGGCATTGAACTAGTGTTGTGTTAATCGTTCATTTTACGAGAACCGAATCAATCAGTAACCCATTTCGAAAAGGACGCAATTTTTTCAATCAATCGTTCATTTCAATACTTTTTGTTGCCAACTCAAGCCATAAACCATAACCGGCAATAGTCACTTAATCCGAACAGTCCGAAGGACCGATTCAGAATCATTTGAATTTGAATTATTGTTGTGTTTATATGTTCAGTTTTCTGTTTTAATTAGTATCGTAGTTAGCTGTGTTCTGCTTTTTACTGCATCATGGTTTTATCCAAATAAGTTCTACGTATTGGGTTGTACGACTAATACATTAATTTGTTTAAATTAAATACCTGCGTGGAAATAGATATTTCATTCGATATTCATTCGATATTCAGTTGAACACATAAGCAAATCTACCGATGCATATCGCAAGTCAATACTATATAATAATTATAACAATACTCCCATTCCTTTTCCGTGGACTGTTTCTGTTATTCAATTTTCAATTTTAAACCATTCAAATCGTCGTCCTGCAATCGGTCGCTGCTTCACTTCAGACGGGTCAGAGCGGCAGCGAGAGCCCAAAAGGTGATTGAATCGTTACTGACAAGCGAGATTCGGTCGTTCGATCCTATGAAGTGACCGAATCAATCGCGAATGACACAATTCTACATTCAACATCCAACATGGCCGCTGACAGTTCTTCAATCCGTCTGGTTTCAGTTTTGGTGTAGCATTTTTAGGGCTGAATTTTCTCATTACATATTCTGGAAAAACGAGTTGAGTGAGTGTAGATCGCTGTTTAAAAAAAAACGGTACAATGAACAGCTAAATGTTTGAAATTTAGAGGCACGCGAGGAAAATTATCCGGTTCTTTACAATAGGCTACACTATATTATCTAATAGCTATAGGATCGCTCCAATTTTAATTGCCGAAGGACTGTATTTAGGTCAATGTCACCAATCCCACGTTAATAAATAATTTTGATTTGCAGGGAAAGAACGGCCGTAATTGATAGTATATATTTCTTCTACTCGTTTGGATTCATAGCGGCAAGAGTGGCGGCAGTATCTTTGTATTCGGCAACGTTAAACGAAGCCGCTAGGAGACCCGTGGAATATTTATACTCGCTGCCCACAGAAAACTACACGTTGGACGTGAGTCACTTCAATTATGATGATTTCAAAGTGTGCAAATCAGAGTTTTAGGTTAGCCGGCTGATAACACAAATTAATTACATGCAAAACGGTATTACAGGACATGGATTTTTTTTAATAACAAAGAACTTTCTGTTGCAAGTAAGTGATACATCGAGTCCGAGAATACTTTAGTATTAAGTTACGATAGAAGTGTCTAATCGATGGGGAGTTTCAGGCGGCTGCCACGGTGATAACCTTCGAATTGATGATTTTTCAGTTCGCTCCTTCGACGCAAAATAAGTACAACGTAAGGTCTGAGGCGGTTTGTATCAAATGACGGAAAACAGCTTTAAAAATCCGCTGTCAGCAACAGAATCTCACCAGTAATAAAATATTTTCATAAATAGTACTTGATACCTACAAAATAAATTGACTGTCTGTGAAGATGTGTTATATATCTGTTTCCGACGAAATTTCGCCCTCATTTATAATTTTTTTCTATTGTAACATTTGCCCAATTTCAAATAGTTGCAGATTAATTTTTCTCCCGTGACCTCATAAAACAGTAAATGAGAACGTCAAATTTATAAGGGTACCAGTTATAAACTGTGGTTATGTTAGTATTTACTGAATAGTACGGGTTATAAATACCGATCCTTTTAATGACCCGTAGTATAAATGAATAAAAATTTTATTTTTTCAAAGTATCATGTAGGATTAATAATTTTAGGTAGGTAAATAATCTGGATTTGACCGCTTCAGAAAAACAAAATTAATATTTAATTCAAATCACTATAGAAAATTTATTGAAAACATGAATATGATTTAACAACTAATTACAAAATTATAGAATTAGTGGGATATTAATTTACAGGGAAGCGCATTGAATATATGGATAGTTATTGCTTTGTAATTTTTTTTTACCAGAAATGTATATTTATTTAGCGATTTGCTTTTATCCAGCGTCTTTAACTAAACTAAAAATATACAGCATGTTTCGTGAGAAAAATTGAAAAGTTCTATAAAACTATACTATATTATTATAGACTATATTAGCAGATTTCAATAATAAAAAGACCCATAATTTACTTAATTTAAAAAACTACTTCAGTGAAAAATGTCGTTATAATTTAGATTTGATGACAATCAAATTAACTATTTTGAGGGAAACTCAGCAAAATTTTTCCCTTTCCTCACAAAATACGCTGTATTTTATAACCACTTAACTAGACACCAATGACAGCATTGGAATTTACCACATAAAGTTCCTTAAAAAAATTTACAAACTTATTACAAAAAATACTGAAAACCCTTAGAGGTAATTAATCACTACATGCTAAACCTATAGGGGCGACAACATAAATGGATGCAATGACATTTCAGGGCTGCATTAAATTAACATACCACCTCGCATTGCGTCACAACACCCCCCACCCCCCGTCTCTTCTGGCACATTTATTTAGTGCTGACATGTCCCAACACAGCAGAACAATTTTTTTTTTCGTGTGCATTGTGACCCAAAGGTTCACAGTATAAATTTTATTACAAAATCAGCTTTTGCTTTTGAATAAAAAGACGTTATTTTGGGTCGCCATGTATATCTACATATGCAATATCTGGTGCCTGTAAGAAACTTTTCTCTCTTTACCTTTAATAAAACGTTTCCAATTCCTTACACAATGTTATTTAATCCTCATAAAAAATATATATAAAAAATATTAAAAATTATTTACAAAGTCGCAATGGGTGAGGTTGAAAAGTCCTCTTTGATGGCAATTTACCAATTTTTTTTTTCAGATCGTGTTTTCATTTAAACACAACTCCTTAATATTACTTAAGTGTCTTCCATAGCGGGAAGCCAGAAGGCCATATTGGTGCAAGCAGAAGCAAGCATCATAAATTTCGGATTAAACTGAACACACTGTACCGGACCTGGATGGTCGGCATTCAAAACACACACTTTGAATCCTGTATCTGCATTCCATACATGTACCCGTCCATCCGTGGAACCACTAAATATGAACTGCGAATCAGGACTGAACGAAGCTTCGATGGGGATACCTTTGTTGTTGAGGTGCCCTGTAAATGTCTGCAAAGGAGTTCCATGGAAAGCATCGATTAATCTTATTATGGAGCCGTTGGTGCTGATTAGGATAGTTTTTCCGTCTCGGGAGAACTTTAGGCCGGTCCAGTCACATTCTTTTTCCTGGGTCAATTTAAATGTGACAAATGGGCCCTGATAGTAAAAGAGAAATTAATTAATTATATGCAAAAAAACACTTAATAATAAATAATCTTTTTGTTTTGACTTAAAACAAAAAAAAAATACCCAAACATTTTAAATGAATTTGGAGATAGTATGAATAACTATTTGCTTGTCATAGGTGTAAAATTCGAAAGTTTAAAAAATAAAGATTTCAAAATTCTGATAACACACCTTGTCAAACGACCTCAAATCATAAAGCTTTATGCATTCTGAGTTAACACCAGCAGCGAAAATAAGCCCCTCAGGATCATAAGCGGCAACAGGTCTGCCCGAGAGATGCATCAAGCCTTGACAATTGGGTGATCTCAGATCCCATAATCGTAGAGTTTTGTCCAGAGAACCCGAGAGAAACGTATCCTCAACTGGTGACAAGCAAAGAGACACGACTTTCTTGGTGTGTCCAGGAAAATACCTTATGTACTTGTTGTCATGTAAAGACAAATATCGGATGGTATCGTCAACTTTTGTGGAACTATGTATAGCAGTATTTTTTGCATGTGTGAAATGTATTAAGTCCACACCATATTTTTTACTGTTAACAGTGCGGACTTGGGTGCCTTTTTCGCAATCGTAAATCACGATTTGATCGTCTTCGCTACATGATATGAGCGTTTCTCCGTTCGGCGAAAAGTCGATACTGTTTATCTTATCGGTGTTTTCTCGGAAGACCTTAGCGACCCGAAAACTTCGGACCACCTGGTCCACCAGTTTCATCTTCATTGGGACAGCCGTCTTTGGTACTTATTTGAAAAAGCAAATCAAAATAAAATATCTTTTATCCTCTAAAACGGAAGACAAAATTATCAATAACAAAACCCGCAAACCCAGCCCGCTACCCACAGACGAATGATTTTGGTAAGACCAACCCAATAGACCTTAGATAAAAGCAAGGATGTACGTTAACCAGCAAATGACAACGAAATTTTAACTTAACCGTTACAGATGTCAGACAGTGATAAAATATAAACTACCAATTTGCCATGCATCCAAAAATCAAATATGTTTATATCCTATTCTATGGACAATGAAAAATTGTTGAAATCGAAGATGTGCTATAGGAAAAGAATATTTGCTTTTTTTCGTGTTTGAAAATTATGTTTTCCATAAAAACATGTCCTATCGAGCGATAAATTTAGAAAAGATTTGTAGAACGTGCCTGTCAGAAGACAGTCAAATGCGCTCCGTGTACAGCATTCAAGAGACTTTGGGCCAAGAACTTAGGCTGGTGGAAATGTTAACAGCCTGTGCTTCCATACAAATTTTAGAGAACGATGGTTTACCGCATCAAATTTGTAACCGATGCACTCAGGATATTACTAAAGCTTATTCCTTCAGACAGCTTTGTGAGAGGTCAGATTCTACCCTTCGAAATTTGTTTATAGAAAAAACACCAACGATTGAAAACTTCATAGAATTGAAACCTTTAGTTACTGCATTAACAAATTCGACCGAAAATAGTCAAAACTCAGAAACTGAAGGCTTACCTGAAATTCAATCAGACACAATTACCGAATTTGTAGCAGAACAAAGTCGCGAATCATTTGATGGTCATATTTTGCCTGCCGACTTGGAATCTAAACTAGATAACATAATCCCTAGTGACTTGGGCAGCAAATTAGACATTTATGATACCAAATATAAATTTGGAAGTAGGTTTTTTTATTAATTGAATTTTATTTCAAAATACTTGTTTGTTTGTTTTAAACCAGGTGTCACTTTTCTAGATGAAAATTTAGTTCTTAATAGTGGTCTAAGTGGTGGTCATAACCTGGAAGAATTGGATCAGTTCAATTCATCTGTAAATGGTTTTGAAGGGCCAGATCCGAGTCTTAAAAAGGAATTTAAAATAGAGAATTTAAATAAAAAAGAAGATGAAACATCCCAGCCATTGTTTCCTTGTAGCAACTGTACAAAATGTTTTACAACAGAAGCAGATTTAAAGGTAAGTCAGTATTCACCTATTCTGCTGCTAATAGAAATAAAAGTAACTATAAAGCACAGTTGAAAATACAGTGTCAAAAAGAAGATGCATCCATAATGCCCTGTGTAAAAAATCTGTCTTTTCCTTTATAGTAGTTTTAGTTTTTGATCGAGATATCAGAAAAAAATAAACAGGATTAAATATGTGAGACTTTTAATTAAGAGGTTCACAATTTTTTTTGAAGATTCATTCCAAATCACACCATGTGTGCCCGAAATGTTATCAAGATTTTGCAAGTGCAAGCACCCTCTGCCGTCACCTCAAGAAACACGACCAACAACGCGGCCATCTATGCAGTGAATGCGGTAAAGGATTTTTCCGATCTGACGATCTAAAGCGACACCTTCTGACGCACACCGGCGAGAGGCCGTTTGTTTGTAAAATATGCGATAAATCATTTGCGCAATCGTTCCGTTTATTGGAGCACACGAGGGCCCACGAAAACGCCAAAGGGTTTATATGTTCTACATGTGGAAAAGGGTTCTCGAGGTACACTAGTTTAGCGGCTCACAACAAAATCCACAGCGGGGTGAAAAATCAGGAGTGCACTGTCTGTGGCAAAAAGTAAGTACATCCCCGCTCCATTTAACACAAGGCGTCTCCAATCATTTAGCGGATTAAGCAGCACCATCCTAAAAACAAAAATTGTTTTGATTGCAGTTTCCCTAAAAAAATTTCAAACGCAAAACAAATCCCACCAAGAGAAGTCTCTAAGACAAGAAATTCTTGCAAAACTAAAACTACGCATATACAGGGTGGTTCGAATTATAATGGAGAAACTTTAACAGCTTATTCAGCAGAAATAAGTAAAAAAGTTGCTATAAACTTATGTCCCCAAAAGATTGATTTTGAAAATACATGGTGTTAAAATATTGTAAAAAATGTCTTTTTTTTTATTTAAAAAATTTTTTTTTAGATTTTTGGTTTTAAACTTAGTAGTATCATTGCCCCTTTAAAGCAATATATAGCATGAACTTGGTATTGTTTAACCAGTGGCGTTCGTGAGATCTTTTTAATTAATTTAAATAATAATTGGTACTCCAGTGATATCGCAATTTTGTTATTATCTACGTGGTAGGGAGTGTTGGAACATTTTCTTAAATAAATATCCATATTTCCAAAAAGGCTTAACACATTTTAATAAACTTGGGATTTTTAAAAAGGGCTTCTTCTAGGCCATCAAACGCAGTACGAGTGGCGCGATTGCTACTGCTTACAATGCCACTAGGTTGCGTTTTCCGACGTACATATTCGCAAAAAAAAGTTTTCCCAAAAAAGGATAAATGCAGCAAAACTGACTTTTTTGTCGTAATACAGCTAAAAAAGTCTAATAACCCGTTGAAACGCGCAACTCACAGTAACTTTGTCCTAACCTTAAATATTCAAAGAACTGAACTCTCTAGTTATCAAAAATTTACCATATGAAATGCTAATTTATTATTTAGGAGGCCAAATGTTATTTAAAATCAAAACACAATGTAATTATTCATCTTTATTACTTTTTTTACAATGCCTGCGAAGGACACCAAATTAATTTGTAGCTGTCATTAATACATAATTATTGTTTCATTAAAAATTAATTTCAATTATTAATAACGCCATCGTTGGCGACTAATTTTACTAACTATTGATATATTTAAGTATGTCTTATTTAAACTTAAAAACTAATTTAAACTTATCATAATCCAATACCAAGAAAAAATCGACACGTTAGGAACGAATAATAATACTTATTATTTCGATACACATTTCAACACTTAAATAATTCAATAATTAATAAAATTATTATTATTATTATTATTATAAAAACGGGCATTGGGTATTAAAACGTATTGTCAGCTACTGAGAAATTTTGTGCGTATTTAAAAACGATAAAAGCAAAAGCATATTTTGATTTAAATATCATGTGACGTGCTTAATAACAAATTGACGTATTGTAACAACCCGTAAAGCGAGAATTAAAAGCTAAAAAAAAGTTATGTCTTTGAATTTATCCTTTTCCCAGAAAATTACTTTTTTTACGGATATATTAGAAAACGCCACCTGGTGGCAAGGTAAGCAATCGTAATCGCTTCACACGTAGCCTGAATAGCATAACAAAAGTCCTTGTTAACGCATCAACGTTGATTAATATGCGTTAGGCGTTTGAACATTTATTTAAAAAAATGTTGGACCAAATTTTGGTCAATATTCATTTCAATTGTCTATTTAACGGAAGAAATAGACATCCTTTCCAAAAGCATATTGCCCACCTCAATTTTTTTTCACGCGTTTGTTTTTTAAACATATTAGAAATCATTAAAACGACCTATTAATATCGATCACGTTTTGGGTGGACACCATTTCAGATTGTGCGGATCGAGTTCATTGTTGATGCACATGAAAACGCACACGGGTCTTAAAGATTACATTTGCGTATATTGCGGGAAGGGATTTACCTCGCCCAGTAATCTGACGATACACAAGAGGATACATACGGGCGAGAAACCTTACGTGTGTAAAGATTGCGGCAAAGGTTTCCCGGATCAATCCAGGCTTAAGGTACATTCCAGGTCTCATAGCGGAGAAAGACCTTACGTCTGTAGTTACTGTAAAAAGGGGTGCGTCAGCTCGTCGCAGCTCAAGAAGCACATTAGAATCCATACGGGAGAGAAGCCGTACCAGTGCCACATGTGTACGAAATCTTTTATGGCCAAGGAGTATTTGAAGATCCACATCAAAACCCACACGGGTCGGTTGACGACGGTCACTACTTTTTATGCAGTAAAAAAAAATATTTTTTTAGGCGAAAGAAATCACGTATGCACGTACTGTTCCAAAGGATTTTATCAAGAATCAACTCTCAAAGTTCACATAAGGATCCATACAGGTACTAGGGGTGATTGTAGTTTTTTCCGCTGCCATTTAAATTTTCGTTTTATTTCCTTTAGGCGAACGGCCCTACAAGTGCAATATTTGTGATAAAACGTTCATGCAAACTGGTCCACTTTCCACTCACATGAAGACGCATTTGAAGGTGGAATAAGTTTTACCATTGTGATGTTTTTCAATGTAGAATATTTTTTAAGCGCGCCAGTCTACATTTTTTAAAAATATAAGTACTATATCGTTTTTGTCAAATTATTTATCAAAGACTAATAATAAAAACACAAATGAAACAACTTTCCAATTGGACTGCTCAAATCTAAATTTTAAAAAAATATAAAGACGCCGTTATTTGCTAGCAGTCAGCAGGATAGTTTTTGTCAACTGCCAGCTGGGAAAACAATGTTATTTGTATACTTTGCTGCAGCTCTGTTTCCTGTTCCTTCACAAGTTAAAGAAAACACTTCAAAATAAATAAAATATATATTGTAATATGAATACACAAAATATGACCTATAATTTGATCGCAACATTACTATTTACAACCATTAACACAAACATGAGAAATAATGTCTAAAACTAGTAACCTTGATAGCCTACCAATTGCCTCACATAAAAAAAAAATCAAGTAGAAAGGCGAAACAAAAAGCCAGAACGTTGAAATGGCGGCTGGTTACATTTTCGGCGGGAAAATCAGAGGCCAATGTGTCAACCTAACCTCGGTGTGTAGCCAGTAACTATGTTGATCGCAACTTCTTGATTGTGTGTGGACCTTGCGTTGACGGTCAGACCTTATAGACCGAACAATTTAAGCGTATCCGAAAAACGTTCATGGAGTAAAGGCGAGAGCATTGGGCCCAGAATGTAAATGCGCCATAAACGATTAGAATAACGAGTTATATAATCACAGTTTTTGTTCATTCCAGGACAACTTGCGAGTTACTGCAATGCTCAAGTCTTTAATAAATGTCTCAAAGAGTGCACAAAATTTACAAAACCGCCCGCAATAATTACTTTGGTAATAAAAACTGTTATGCCTAGGGTTCTTTTTCAATCATTATAAAATCGACTTGATCGTTTACATTAACATAATATACTCGCTTAAATTTTAAATTACAAATGTTTTCGTTACTTCAAAAATAAAATAACAATTTGATTGGTTGTTAAATGCTCAAATGCTAGCAAACTTTCGTTAGTGTCCCCGTAAAAATAAGAGGTGATATATGGAAGAGTTCCTTTACACGAAAATATAAACAAACCCCTTCCAATACAACATTGAAACATGAAGGGCCACTCTAAGTTCTCTTCTGATGTTGTTTTTGATTTATAATTTATTAAACGAATTTAGGATGAAAAAAAGTTGCACAACAATATCACTTGCTCCCCTCCCACCTTGTTTGAAAGACCTGGGGATGACGTTTGGCAAGTTGAGCAATCGCAGAACTCCGCTAAACGTTGCCAGTTTTCAAATATTTCACAAGGGTAAGAAAAAGAATGTTAAATTTTATTTGACTGATCCTGAAGATCATTATTTTTTAAGTTCGGAAGATAACACGGTTTGATTGTTCCGTAAATATGACAACACTGCACAAATTGTTAATAAAAGCGAGTTTTGGCGCTGACCATTTTAAATTTCGAAAATTGATGTATCCCATAAAATTTACATTTTGTTATTTTTGCCATTTGGAGCTGTGACTTTGCTAGTAGCCATAACCTTTGAGGTTATTTGAAGATCAATTCCGTTTTTTGTTATGTTTATTATAACCTACTGTTCGTAATTCCATAATAATGAGGTTTCTTTCTCCAGTAAAACGCGAAAAACGACATTTGCTGTGGACCCTTAAAAAGCATCGTCCGAGTTTTTAACAACATCCTGCGATGGTGACTATATAATCGTCAAAAAGCAAATTGAATCGCTTCAGTCTTTTGATATTCAAAATATAGCGTAGAATCCTGTAAGGCACTGAGCACAATATAAAAAACCTTCCCAAACAACTCACCAAGGCGGTACCGCATATTTGGCATGAAAACAGGACTACCTTATCAAAAACGCGACTACCATAAGAGACGAAAACGAAATAAATATACACCATTAACGAAAATAAATTACAATATGAGTGCGCGTAACACAAGAGAAAATTGAAAAACTTCGTTATCTACAGTGTAGAGAGAGAGAGAGAAAGGAGAGGAGAGAAAGAGAGAGCAGAAATGCGTCCTCCTCGAACTTTTTCATCGTCATTTGCGAAGCACAAAGTATAATATAAGGGCCCCGTTGATAGGCGTCCCCACTCATAAGAACGGATTGTTCGAATTGCCGTTTGCGGTGCCAACCTAAAAGAAACCACCGAAAATTAAAACCCAAGGAATGATCTAACCCCGCCCTTTTATTTTTACCTTAAATGGGTTGGCGTTCCAGCCGTTGCTCAATGCATTGGGTGGAAACACCGGTTGCAATCCGTTCTGAAACCCGTTGGATTTTGGTTGATCCCTGAACGGATTGACTAGTGGTTGCTGCGTGAGAAACCCGCCCGAGTTCGAACCCCAATTCACTCCCGCAGAACCGTTACCCCCGAACGGGTTCGACATTTGATGGTTGGTACCGTTTTCATGCAATGGCGGGAAGGCACTTGAGAACTGACCTGTGCAAAACATTAAAAACTAGCGTTACACTCTCTCTATTCGTTAGCGAAAATGAGGAAAAAGTTGATACGATCATTGAGAGGGAAAGAGAGGAAAATGCGCTGTTAAAATATATATCATGGGGGTCCTATTTAATTTTAATTTAAGGTGAAGAAAAAGCAATAATAATGTTGACAAAGGCAACCAAAATTTTCCAAGGATAAGGATATGCGAGGTGGAAAAATATGCTAATCCTATTAATTTAATAAAACGCTGTTTTTTGGTAACATTCAAAAAGTTACATGAAATTCATTTATGATTTCCATAAATATACAATTTCGCCTAGCATATGCTGCCCTCAAACCGGGTAATTTTCAGCATTGTATTTCGGACAGCTGTACTAGTCCGACAACATCGACATATTTTGGTTAATGATAAGTGTATGAAAAAATATAACTTTTTTGAGTTTAATGCTTAGGTTATTTTATCAGCTTTTATCGTATTTGCAACCATTATTAATTATTTCATAAAATAAATTTCAAAATTTTTATAATTTTTTTTATCTAACAACGCCAGAAACTGTTGTGCACAAATTTGCAAAACTTGACAGATTTACATAATGTGAACTAAACAGAGAGAGGAATTAAATCAAAATAATCGAAGTACCCTTACACAAAATGAATGAGTGATTGGCATAGAACAGGAAAACTATTGAATTTTAAAGAAAAATACTTATTATAAAAACAAAGGTAAATTGAACGTGAGGTTCTGGTTGAGAAAAATAACACTCCAAGATTGCAAAAAATGCCAAAGAACCAGTCGGAAAAAGATCCAGAGCAAGACCGCCGAGATAGATAGAAGCAGGGTTTCGTTCACTTAGATTTAATATGGTGTGAAGTAGATATACATATTACACGTACAGGGTATTTTTTTAAATGGGACACCGTATTTTTAAATATAGTTTTGAAATTCTTCAATTTTTAATACATACTGAAACCTAATAGTTTTCCAATATTTTCATTTTTCTAAAAAGATACTAGTTTTCACACTTGCAAAAAAAATATTATACCGCCATTATTTTTGAATGTAGATAGATCGCTCATATTTGATATCAGCGTTACTGGAAGATGAAGAAGGAAGAAGCTACAAGGTGGTCAAAATAAACGAATATATTTGGATCATTTGAAATTGAAAAATCTTGATTTTCTTAAGTGGCATATCATATATATTATTATTTTTTCTTAAAGATCTTAAAAAACCTACAACTTTTATTAATTCATATACCTACTTTTAATATTTTGCGATTTATTTTAATTTTCCCAATAATTACTAAGACTATTGCTATAATATTAGTTGGCCATGACGAAACAATTAGCCAACAGCCGTAGATAACGCAACAGACAGTTATTGGCAATTTTAGTGACCGCCAAATTTTAAATTCACAGGAAAAATAAGTAATATTAAATATCTACTACTACAAATTAAGTTATCTTATTTTTAATTATTATGGCGCAATAAATGTTCCAAAAATATGCACTTCCACTTGCATACACATGTTGGTATATTTTCTTGGGCGTTCCTTAGCATAAACTATCCTAATCATATTTTCACGATCTTCAAAATATCCCCATAAAAAGAAATCTAGTGGTGTTAAGTCGCATGATCGAGGGGGCCATTCAATGCAACCTCTACCGATTAGTTCTGTGGGTAATGATTATTTAAAAATTCTCAAACTTCTCGATGGTAATGCGAAGAGGCTCCATCTTGCCGACACCACATTTGTTGGATCTCAATGTTATTAATTTCTTCAAGAAGTTGAGGTAAGTGATTCTGCAAAAAGTTTAAATATCGACCACGACCGCGAAAAGCGGTTTCATCGGAAAACATTATTTTAGACATTAGATCGGCTTCTATTGCTTCATTTATAACTGTGCAGAAGTTATTAGTGCAATTCCATATGGAAGGGATGATATTTGTGTTTTCTAGTGGTGCGATTGAGGGTAGATTGGGATTTATCATATACTTGACGGATACTTGAAGTAAAATTTCCAATTCTTTTTTCTTATTGGTAACAGCTTGCCATTGTCATTGCAACTAAAGTTATAGCAATAGTGTTAGACCGAAAAAAAGGTAAATATTGGAAAAGTTAAAATTAATCGCGAATTGTTAAAAATTTTGTAAGATCTTACAGAACAAATAATAATATATATGGCGTGCCATTTAATAAAATCGAGATTTTTCAATTTGAAATAATCCAAATATAGTCGTTTATTTTGAACACTCTTTCTGCGTTTCGTTTTACGTCATCCTCGACTAACGCTAATTTTTTTGCAAGTGTGAAAACTAAACTTGCGTTCATAGAAATCGGTCCATTGTGAACTATTACTTCAATTTCATTTTTTTTTAGAAACTACTGATCAGATAAAAAATGTGCTGTTTAAAATACTGTAGTAAAATAACTGGACGAGTCCAATTTTTTTTTTATTACTAAAAACTAATAGGGTTATTGACAATTAGCAACTAATGACCCCCTATTGCCCTAATAATATCTCTTACTCGATTAGGCATAGATCAAATCAAGTTCGCTATTGTTTCTTGCGGAATGTTAAGCCACTCTTCCTCTACTGCAACAATAAGCTCTGGGGTCGAGGTTGGGGTACGAAGTGTGGCTCTAATTCTCCATTTTAGCTCATCCCATAAATGTTCGATCGGATTGAGGTCGGGACTGCATGCTGGCCATTCCATAACTCGAAAACCGACTTCGCTAATGTAATCTGGCACGAATGTGTCTCCTAGCATTGTTATGCATAAAAATGGTACTATATGATCTGATAAAATATCCTCGATGTACCTAGCACCTATTGAACCTCCTGCCTATTGAAAACGGCCGCCCCTACGGATGAAAACAGGGTCGGTTCGTGCGTCCATAGAAATTGCACCCTACATCATGCAGGAACCACCGCTCCTCTTTGCAGCATTCTGCAAATCCCTCTCCTTCGGTACACGTTTTTTCGTTTTTTTCGTCAGTCACTACCAAAAAGGCATATTCTGGTCTCATCTGAGAATAGAACAGTCCGCCATTGGTACAATATCTAATTCAGATGACCCAGTGCAAAGCGTAGGCGTGCTTGTCAATGAGCTAGAGTAAGTTTTGGACCAATTGCAGTTGTTTTTGGGGTCTGGTTATTTTCCTTCAGTCTTCTTCCATCTGTTGTGTTGACACTGTTATTGTTGACACAATAAAGTGGTTATCACAAGTCGTTGTAATTCGACTTCTGAATGTTCCAGGGGCCTAGCGAAGGATCAAGTCTCCTCATACCGTTGGCATACTCTCCGAACTGCTGCGCGTGTCATATCGAGTTGTCGAGCAATAGTTCGCTGGCGAAGTCCACTTTCGAAGAAAGCGATAACTAAAGCGGCTTTTTGTGGTATAGTATGCATTAAGCTAACAAAATTAAACGCCATCCAAGTGGGAAAAATGGAATAATGAGAAATTTCCAGTTGCAAAGGCGATTAAGTCTAACAAGTTTGTTTTCTATAAAAAAAAAAAGAACTGAAAGCTCAGATTTTCACGAAATTATATATTTTGACATGACACTTGTTTCGACAACACCGTCTCAAATATTGTCAAACAATTGTCATGTCAAAATATATAATTTCGTGAAAATCTCAACTTTTAGTTCTTATTTGTTTTGATAAATGAATTTTCATGAAGTAAAAGCCACCTCAGTTCAATTTTTGTTACTATCACTATAACTACTGCAAGAACACGTTTCATTTCTTTAACCGTAGCTACGCATATAAAAGATCAGCACTCTTGACAAATTTAAACTCATACCAAAGCATATTAAATAGACTTCCAAATAGCATGTTTAATTACTGGGTCAGATGAATAGTTTCTAGAAAAAAAATATTCCAAAGCCAAAAATTTACAGTGGGACGACTTCTATGCACGCAAGTTTAGTATTTTTTAGTATTTACCGATTTTCAATTTTCTCATAACTTTTGAAACCATTTAGATCACGAACTTTACTCTATCGTTGACTCACTCTGTACATATAATAGATATTTGTTTAGTTTACAAAATGATAGAGAAAAGTTCGAAAACTTTGTTGTTATAATCCAGCTTAACCGTATTGATTTTGCTCTTTGTTGGATTTTTTGTTTTTGAAATAAAGCAATATAATTAATTAGGAAGTGTTGCAATTTTATTACTTTTCTCAAAGTTCGAATTTCCCGTCACCCAGAGGCAGAAAATTAGTTCGTCCTATAGCTCGTGGTGACTGTAGTGAATACAGTTCCGATGTTTTACCTCAAGTGTCAAACAACATTTTCGACACACACTGGTAAGAAAAATTACTATCGATGACGTGACTTTAATCTCGTAAAGGCACTATATTCATGGGTGCTTTTTTCTGGTATTTTCTATTTTCACTCACCTTGACTAGGACTACCGAAAATGGATCCCTGAGAAGACGGGGAACCATACACGGAACCAGTGGTGGGCGTGGGCGAACTGTATAACGAACCCGTCGAACCCGTTAAAGAGGGCGCCACGTTCTGCTGTAGCATCTGATGCTGGTGCTGCGATTTCATTTCGTTGTCGAGGTCCTTCAGGGCGGCGTACTTGTCTTCGACGGGCAAATGGGCGGAGCAGGGGACCGGAACAGCACCAAGGCTTCCGTTTATCTGATGGGGGGCGGAATGTTGTGGCTGTTGCACTGTCCAAGCGTTTAAGGTGGACGGAGCTGGCATACCTGTAAATCAAAAGCGTTTTTTTTTATTTATTCATCGGCGAATCCCGAATTTCGATGTGACCAATCGTGTGCCTGGTGATTCGTTACGAGTGGCGGGATACCAGAATGTGTCAGGAACTAATAGCCGTAGGAGTTTGGGAAAAATGTTTTAGTCAAAACCTGTCAAGCGAGAGAGATTGCTGGAAAGATATTTTACACCACCGGCGGGCATTTAAAAAATGCATTTCTTTTCAAAATTCGCCAACATGGTGGCACAACTTTTTATCTTGGTAAGCGCGGAAGTTGGCAGGTTGCATTTCGAGAAAAAGATACCTATAAAAATTAAAATACTTGTGTAATTTTTGTTAGTCAGAGGAAGTTGGCAGGTTGGATCTCAGGAAACTTTGTGACAGAAACGTCATAGCTACCTACCTTGCTTTGTTATTATGTATTTTTAGACACTCTTTGTAGTTCGCTTATGTGAACTTATCGATGAGGTGAACACTGGTGTGAATAGGGTTATTTAAGTAGGATCCAGTGACGTCGTCAGTTTCCTTCTAAAACCCAACAGTTTTGATATACAAACTAAAGGTGTACAATGACAATCATGAAAAATTGGATATAATAGGGGTGTATTATAATTTTGCACATACACACAAGTTTATTTTGACTTTTATTATTTATTTTTATTTAACTTTTTGTAATAAATTATGTAATTTATGTTAAAAAAATCTTTGTTTCTATGAGCTATTGAAAAAAATTATGATTTTTATTTGAAATAGCTCTTATGTGTTATGCATTTTTGTAACGCTAAAATATAAAATAAAAGGTGTTACATCAAAAAAAACACAAGTTTAGTTTATATATATTTGAGAGTTTCAATAAAAAACGATAAGTTTACATAAGCGAACTATAAAGAGTGTCTAAAAATGCAAAATTTCAAAAATCACCCTGTTACCATTTATTTCACGTTTCCGTTTGAGCTGCTCCCCAAAACCATCAAAAATGTACAATTAACTCAAAATGTTCAAATTTTTTCCGAACTCTCACCGCTATTATAGTTCCTGAGGATCGCTATCGTTGAATAGCTGTGTAAAGGGTGCGAAGTTTTAATTCAATAAGCAAAATTCAAGCTCGTTAAAACGTTATCTACCGGTTGAGAGCCAAGCGTTAAGGTCATGTGTAAACGAATCGTATCGCAATCAATACCAAGCTAATAATTGAAAAAGCTTTGACGAAGACTTCGTTCTAGTTTATTGTCAACAATATTCGATTTTCACTTCTTTTAAATTCAAAGGTCAATCGTCGAACTTCTGAGACTATCGCTCCTATTTCTGTGTCCGTTAAATGCAGTTGCTCAGTTACTCTGTGACGACACGGTCTAGAAGAATAACTCCTTCGGTTGTTTTTCGACATCACCTGATATGACGAGGCACTATGAATTTCTTGCAGAGATATTTGATGACTGTAGTTAGTACACTTCGTTCCCAAAATACACCACCAATTTTATTAACCTGGGGCATTGCAATTAATTAGTTCTCCTACTGTATCAGGCATATAGCTATTAGATAATATAAAAGCCCAGTATGTTTTCGTAACGATGGAAATGACGTTCAGTTCATACCTCCAAAATTCGACCCACTAACCTGCATTTTGCTCCATTTTATTTCTAAATAGCGATCTCCACACACTTAACTCATTTTCCCAAAACATTCACAGTAAGAATGCTATACAAAAAAAGAAAGCTTTCGCAATCTCGTCGCTGCGCGGTTTTGTTTTTTATAGAAGCCACTTCTCGCACGGTTTTCTATCCTGCTCCTGCGGACCACTTTTTACCACAATTTTATTTTGCATGCACCCTGCATAAAGTGATTTTTAAGTCTCACCGAACTTGAAAGTCACAGCAAACTTTGGTAAATATTAAAATTTGTACAAATAATAGCGAGCACCCTGTATGATAGACGAAAGAAACGTGATACTCTCTCTCTCGATACAGTTTACGATAATGTTTAAACCAATATCCATCCCATGTTTTATAGTTTTTTATCTATTTATCCACGACAACGGAAATTTTCAGGGTCTTTTAGATTTCTTGCATATCCCACGTTTCCTGGGTCATGAATTTTTACAGTAGTGTAAATGATTTTTGAGAAAATACTTGGTTTCTGAAGCCATAGAGTAGGTGGTAATGGTAAATGACATCATCGCGTATAGATAGACCGTGAGATATAACGACTTTCACATGAACTTTTTGAAATACCTCGAGAAACGTGTGATAGACGAAAACCGTAAATATAAAAATTCTAGCTCTCGAAGCTGTCTATAGAACTGTATAAATAAAATAACCATATTTTTCAAGAATTTTGATTTACTATTAATAATTTTCTTCCTAAAAGAACAATTTTTAAAGTCTTTTGAACCTTCATTCATAATTGAATAATCGAAAAAAATTCGACGAAATAAAAGTATTAGTACCGGACCTCACACGTTTTCCTATTCAAGAATTTTGCTGATCGGGATAATGGTTTTGGAGAAAATATTTTTTTTTGTGAAAGTCAAATTTTTTTTCAAAAAATTTTAAAAAATACTTTCCGACATTTGATTATGCCTCATTTCTCAAGTTTAAGTGCGGGTATGGACTTCCACATCCCTGCCAAATCTGAAGTTGACAGCTGTAAATATAAGACACCTACTATATTTTATAATATAGCACGAAATATGCCGAACATTCTGTACAATATGTGAAAACGTTAAATAGATAACTGTCTAAACGAACTATATAATCATGTCAAAGAAACTGACAACTGATCAATCATCTTCTAGTTATAACAAATTTTCACTAAAAGATTAACCCATTTTTTAGTTTTTTTTTTGCAAATTGCCGACGTACCCTGTACATTTTCAAAAAGAAAAATTTCTTAATGATTTTTAGATGCGGATCTCGCGCGTCTTCCAGTTGCAGAATTTTTTTCATCTTATTAACCATTTTTGAGAAAAAAAATCTTGAACCCTTGTAAATGTCGTTTTGAAATATTTTAAAATAGTTCCCGACCCCCCAGCTCCCCCCAGTTTCAATGGGTTTCGTCCAATTCTGAAGTCGATAAATATGGCTAATGTGTCTCGTGGGCTATTAAAAAGGAGCCAAATTTCAATGCTTTTGGTCAAACTATATGGAAGTTATTCGCATTCTTATGGAGCGTCGAGAGAGAACAGAGAACGGACAGACAAAATAAAAAAAAACGACGCTGATTATTGCCGTATCAACGGAGGCCCTCTAGGGCCTCCCTCTGCTGCGATAGGAGTTTCGTTGCGAAGCGCATATGCTTTCGAAAAATTCGATTTTATCGATTTTTCGATAGCAATAATAATTAAAATAACCGCGCACGCGGGTATCAATTTTTTTGTCGGTCTTCAAAAATTCGTGTATTCTCAGCATAGGCAGCGCATCTATATATCTAATAGCTTGATGTCAGGGATGATAATATCCTTGTAGGAAAAAATAAGTATCGCATTAGTTCCACTACGGCAAAAAAACACACGGTGATTTTCATCAGTAAATTTTTGACGGAAAAAAAATATTGAGACTACCCAAATTTAAGTGCTTTTGGATGCCATCTATCAATTTTAAAGCTGTTTATTTAAATACGGCAGATTTTGTGCTTGCGATATGGGGTATTAAAAAAAAGAAATGGGCGCGCCTGGGACTACGACTTACTCCAGCGGTTTGTGTTACATTTTGGAAATAGAGGCACTTCGTTCCACACCGGACCGTGGCTAGTGAACTTGAGATCGAATATGCTGAAGTCGTCCACTGCAAATCACACAAAACAACCAAACGCATTTTACAAGAAAAGTGTTTTTGAGATTTCAATTCTATAAGAATTTCTCTGGAAACCAAAAATCCAAAGTCCCATTTAATAGAATTACAATGGACAATAGTGTCACCATTATAATTCCTTATCCCACCTGCTTCAAGATACCTGGCATATTTACTAATAAAATTAATACAAGAAAGGTTTGGCTCGAAACAAAAAGATCTGATAATCTCGTATGTTAGAGGCTAGACCCGCAAGTTCTTGAACAAGAGGTTTTGTTAGCCTAAATAGCAGAATAAATTTTCTGTTAAAAACTCGAAAGGGGTCCGTTTCAATCTCAATCTCCTAGAGAGCCTCCTCATAATAAAAAATGAATAATAGCATGCCCGTACGGTTGGTTCAGCTCTCTCTTTTCACTATTGCCATTGTGAATTGTGAATAAGCACAAAAAACAACATATTATAGGTACAACACCTTGATCTTGCTTGCCCTGTTAATAAAAATGTTCAAAAGAATTGTAACATTTAACTCGCCCCCTTTTGGCTATCTGCCAACAACATTTATATTTCCTAAAATTCAAGAATAGTGAGACAGAAGCAAGCTCTGCAATTTTTTATGTTTATTATGACAAAAAATGACTACACTTCCAAGGCGATTAAAAATCCGCATTTTGCAGCACGAATTAGTCGCGCTGTAGTACGAGTTAATTTGATGAGGAAAACGAACTCTTTTTTTAGCAAGAAAACCGAGTTCCGTTTCCTTTTATAGTCGGCTGCGGCCAAAATCGCCTTCCGGAACAGGTCGACTGTTGCCCCTCTCGTCAAGCGGAAACAAAATTTGTTGGCGCGGAAACGGGCGTTTAAAATATACGTCTCAAAAATTATATGTGGATGTACGCCTTAATCAGTCGGGCCGATACCCCATTCTCATCAATTGAGTTAGATAATGTTTTTCGATATCTTAATTACACTAATATTGACCTAAAACCCTATAGATATCGATAATCGAACGACAGTAACGGCACCACTGATCAAGATACAGAAACATAATTATATTTAGCTGATATAAACTTCTGCATTCGGTATGAAGGGAGCCCATAAAAATGATACAGAAACGACTTTTTATTATAAAGTCAAATTTCTATCCAGTATTTCGATGCGCTCCCTGAGATTTGGGCATATTTTAAGAAAATACTGCGGCAAATATTACGCTTTAACTGAAACGTGTGGAATTAACGAACTGTCAACGGACATGTTGGTTGTTGCATGCTGATTTAGTGGTTCAATTGAAATGACAGGTGTTATTGGTTGGTTGAACACAAAATTTCAAATGCCCGCCCATACGAAAATTGAATGGTCCTTCTCAACATTTTTTCAATGTTGCTTCAAACCGTCCTGTAATATCAGCGTAGACAGAGATTCTATATGAGCTGAGTAAATCGATTCAAAGGTCAAGTTGGAACCATAATATATATTCTGTGCTTTGTCAAGGAAATAGTAAAAGTGTCCGTTATCTGCTTAAGGGCCGAACAATTATAGTCGTTACCATTTGTAATGGCATAGTCGGCAAAAAAATGCCAGACAGAATCAAATAGATGTTCATCTTGCTTCCACTTATACTTTAGAGATATTGTTCCGCCCTAAATGTGTATCTGATCAATGCAAAACAACGGTTACTAACGATCACGATTATATACTTGGGAGAAAGAGAATCAGAAAATTAAAAAAATCGTATATCGTATAAAACATAATTTAATAAATAAGTAAACATAATTTGACAAGAGTAAATATAGAAGTAAACCGTAATTAGTCTCTATTTAAGATGAAACGTCTTCATCATCCTAGCCAAAATTGGAGCTGCTATTACTAGAAAATGATTGTTATACGAAGTCTTATATTATATATATGTTATATGCATTATATGAAGTTTATTCTCTTTTGTCCAGTATTCTTTTATCATATTTTCGGTATGTGTTACACAACAGATCCAATTTTCTTTGGGAACTGTCTGGACAGGTGCCTCCCAAACAGATGCTACTGCAGTATCATTGTGCCTTGCCTCACTCAAAATATTTATGTTATGTGGTTTTATGACCGGCTATGCCATCGCAAATCGTACCGACTATAGTTCCAATTTGATTATACCGTGGAAAAAAGATCAAACCAACCTACGTTGCATAAATTCTTGGCCTTAAGCCCAAAGCCGTATTGTTGTGACGTGACTTCTTACTTGATTTTAAAACTATCTTAACGAGGACTTTTTGGGTAAATCGCGAAAATGCAAGGGTAAGCTCGTGACGCTTGATATAACAAAACCATTACCAAAGTTCAGTACTTAATTTTAGTTTGGCTTAGATTTGTTTTTTGGAAGTTCTTGAATTATAGGGAAACTTATTTTTCTACCGCGACGTTGGAACCAGAAGTGTGAACAGTTTGCATTCCTTCACAAATTATAAATAATTCAGGCAAATGGCTACAACGCCATGGTACATGAATTTCCCTTATTTAGAGAATGATCAAAGAAACTTTTAATAAACTCATGGCGACAATTTATCGAAAACAATTATACATTATAATAATAATTATATATTATAATTATAATTATATATACCTATAATCATGATCTTAAACTATTTTTTAAACTCATTAATCTTATTTTTAATCGTATCCATCCCACGTCTGGCAGGAATGTCTAAGTCATATTCTAATAAACTTGAATGTTTTGACGCCGGATTCAAATAGGGTTGTGAGTCTCTCGAAGCTTCATGTGATTTAGGTATAAAGCTTATAGTAATTTATTTACATATATATTGATACTTCTGTTTTCGTTTTGTATTTAGGTTATAATAAATAATTGAACGGTTTATTTTAGTTGATTAGTTCTATTGATATATATTTTACTATAAGTGGGAAAGACACGTTAATAAATAAATAAATAAATAAATATAAAAATATAACTAACCCCCAACAACAAAAAATCTTAAGACGCTTTTCATACTTTTACCGTGCCACATCGCGAAGATGCCACATTGTGTTTTATTATTGATTTTAAATATGAAGGTTGGTTTTTAAATATTTTTCGTGTCTACGAAGTTGCCATTGTTTCTACATTTTCTCCATTATTGTTGCATTTAAAACCAAGACCCGTAAAACGGTTCAGCATTCCAGGGTCCTCTTAAATTGTTTACGAATGCGAAGACAACATCGATCGAGGAAAAGTAAGGAACAAAGTATTCAAAAAACACTCACAAAGACAATGATGACCCCCATTTAAGTCAGGGTCGGAGCTCACCTTTCGCGGTCGGACTGCTAAACACGGGATTGTCATCGAAATTTGCAAAACCATTTTGCTGGCTACTGGGCACTGCACCATTGCTCGGCGTATTACTGAAGCGAAAAAGAAAAATTGTTAATACGAGATTTCGAGTCAACATATTTTGGTTAAAACGTTCGCTCACCTAAAAATGTCCGCCTTGTCGAAATCGACAGCGAAATTGCTACTCGTTCCATTGCTATTGTTGTTATTGACGCTTTTTACTTCCGGCCTGCTCCTATTTGTACTGTTTACGGGCGGTACTATGAAATCGTACGAGTTTTTACCGTTCGCCGCGTTTTCGCGATCCGAGGATTTCAAATTATTGTTAACGCTCCTGGAAAATCCGTTTAGGTGCACTTTGGTCGATGCGGACGTGAGGTTTGAGGATTTCGTCGACGACGATGACGACCTCGTGTTCGATACTTCCGTCATTGCCTTTTCTAAGTAATACCTGAAAACGACACGTACAACTGAAACGCGAAAGTGTATTTGAAAAAGAAATGGGCGCGACACTATTAGGGTTGCCAACTAGCACGGAGGCAAAAAATACAATACCCCTCAATAACATGGTTAGTTGTTTGTATATGCATTTGCATATTTGTTCGGAATTTGCGATATAAATTATTTTTTTTTCTGTGCAAAAACGATTTTCATCTAGCCATTTTATGTTCAATATCGAAAAAATTCTCTCCGTAAAAGGAGAATCCTTCACTATTTAGAAATGAAACTGAAACTGAACTGAACTAACACAACGGTCATATATCTCAGAAATTATTAGAAATAAGTTGGTGAAATTTAGAATAAGGGAGTTTCTAATTAGACTGGATCCATTGGTGATTTTAGTATTATAGATATTATAAATTAAATAGAAAATGTATGTTTTTACTCCATTTGTAGATTGCTCTTAAATTTTCATTATATTTTTCATGTAACATACCCAAATTCATCCGACGGCGGAGGAATGCAGAATGCAGATTTGTTAATAGTATTATAGTTGTCAGTGGAAGTTTCTTTGAAAAATTAAAACAATCCTTTATTCCAAAGAAGTTTTAATGAGGACGTTCCAAAATGAGATTTCGGTTTTATTTATGATCGATAGTTAACGGGAAAAATGAAGTTTTTGCATTCTATGTACATATTTTTTAAACATTATATAGTACGCTAGACTGAAACATGGTACACTATTATTCAGGGTTAGTCGTGCAACGCTCATATATCTCAGATATTAGAATTAAATTGGTTAAATTTAAGATAAGGGAGTTTCTAGTTACACTGGATCCAATAGTGCTTTTATTATTATAGATATTATATATTAAATAGAAAATGTATGTTTTTATTCCATTATTGGATTGCTCTTAAATTTTCAAGTATTTTTCATGTAACTTATAACCAAATTCAACCGGTTTTGCAGGAATGAGTAAAAACGAAAATAATTAATGCTTTAATCACTAAACTAGAATTTAATTTATGAATGATATAATCATTTTAATCAATTGACAAAAAGTACTTATTTTAATAAAAACCGTCTCTAATTTCCCGTACGGTGTTTTTGGGAATATTCGGTTTTGTAGCTCGAATTTTGATTCTTGTCTGTTCTAAATCAGCCAAGGTATTTTAAGGTGACCCCAAAGAAAAAAAATCGAGATTTTAATCTGGTGGATGGATACATATATTTAGGACAGGTTCCTTGTATGGCTTATATTTATTTTTTGTCAGCATTCTTCTCACTGATGACTCACTAGAATTATTATCCCCTGCTAAGTTTGTGGATTATCTATAGTGGATTATAAAACATTTAGAACGTCATTCGTTTTAGTTTTTGGTTAGTTTAAGTTGTAATTTTAAAACTAATCTGACTATAGTTGACTTCATAAGTTGAGGTCTATTTGGGTATTTGTGAAATAATTCACACACACCATACGAACGTTTCCTATCACCAGAACCGACCATTATTAATACTTCGATTCGTTCCGTTTCGCCTAAACACAAGAGTATTATTGATCTAGGATAAACTTGAAAACCAAGAAATAACAAATTGAATTGTTTCTCAAATAGTGGGAGTGGGAATGTTTTGTAAAATATGAGATCAACAGTTAGTTCGTCATTTATAGTGTATCGTTGCAGTTGTTTATGTAAAATAGAGAAAATAGACACGTGTAAATACTTAAAAATTTAAGAGCCGAAATTATAGCTATAACACCGAATGCCCTCCAAAACTCCGAATGGGAATTTACAGACTGCTTAGGACATTGTTAAGTAGCAGAAGAACGTCGGCATTTATTAAAATAAGTACCCTTTTTCTTTGTTTTTAAATAGTTTTTATTGTTTATAAGTTTACCAATTCGTTAAAATCATTAATTACGTCGCTCATTAAATAAATTATAGTTTACTGATTAAATCATTAATTATCTTCGTTTTTCGTCATTCGCGTTAAAACGGTCGAATTTTCTTTTTATTTAAAATGAGAAAGTTTGATAGCTTAGGGAAAAAAAATAAATGTGTCAACGTCGCCTATATCGCCATTGGATCCAGCCTAATTGGAGACCGCCGTAGACTAGATTTCATGAATTTAATTCTAATAGTTCCTGAGATATATAGCGCGCCTAATAATATAGTAGGAGTAGCATCCCTAGACGATACATAAAGGGTATTTTCGAACTTTGTCCAACTATGGTGTATTAAACCGGTTGTTTTTTTTTCTTGTAGCTATTATTAGATAATATAGTGCCTGTATATAAAAACGGTAAAAATGGATGCGCTCTAACGGGTTAAAACAGAGACCCATAACATTTTTCAAAGGTTTCTACATTATCTATGTTTTTTTCTATAAAAAAATGTAATTCTGGTAACCAAAACCATCTTAGCTCCGTTCAATGTTTATATTTGAGATCAGAGCAATTTTCACTTCACATCAGCGAGATTGGATTGAAATTAAAACAACGAATGACAAGTTTGATGTGCTACTGTATCATCGAAGATTTTTTAACCACAGTTGTTTTCTGTTTCGGTTTTCCACAAGGTTTTTTGTATTAAAAGATTAGCGTAAATAACGAAAATGTAGGATTGTATAAATATGTATGATAACAAACTTGAAAAAAGCAAATAAAAAACATAACTGTTTTAGCCGCTTTGCGCAATCGAAATTCTCCGAGCGAACAGATTTATTTAATAGTCGATTGAATAAGAGAACGCTTTAGATTACCTCCTCTACATCTAAATGTCATAAACAAAAGACCCGAAGCAACAAGATTAATAGGATGTAAATATCGGATGTAAATAACGAAAACAGCATAAAAGCATAAATTCCCAAAAATATCGGAATTATATGATAAAGTGATAACGAACTTTGTTTCGTCGCGTACACTGTAAATTTTTGTCTTTTTTATGCAAACAGTCAAAGATTTATGTTGGCAGAATTTTAATTTTAAATCTTCATTCTTTTTTAATTAAAAACACGCAAATTTTGCAATAAATTATAAACATATTTAATTAATCTAAGTTTTAGTTGCGACAAACAAGTATTAGTATTATTTGTAATATTTTATTCTAATAATCTTTAGAATCACTTTGATCCGTACAACAAATATGAGAAAACTGCAAAACTGGAGAAGATGTGAGAAAACCACCAATATTCACCTGATCGTACCCTAACAGTACGAGGAAAGCATAAACGGCCAAAAAAATGCCGCACAATACTGAACGCGCACTATTCTGAAAACGATTATATGTGATTGTATAAAAAAAAAAGAATTTAATTATCGCGTAATTGGATTCGTTTCTGGTCGCAGAATCGAATATTTTATACCTCCCATTTTGAGTAGCGCTTGCTGCGTCAATGGCTGCTGATATCGGTTTCGAGAAGCTGCGGAAAGGCTGCGAGTGATAAAATTCCCAAACATTATCAGTCGAAACGTTTCGTATCGCTCGTCCCATTGCCATAAATATCGCAACAATTAAGAAATACGAAAATTTTTGAAAAATAATAGTTTTCATTTGCAGTACTACATATGTGTAGCAAGTGGGAAAGATTCATATTTTATTATAGACCTCAAAAAAATTTCTAAGAAAAACATCAAATTTTTTACTATGCCATATATTCGTTAAATATATACATTTAAATGTTTCAAAAAATTATTAAGCAATTTACATCAAAGACTCACCTTGATACGAGATGTATCTATGTATAAACTCTCCACAAGCATTACAACACTAGATATATAATTGTTATTAAAAAAGGAGAAAGTTTTTTTTAATTGTTTTAAATTTTTTATATACTTTAGAGCACGTGCAATTTTTTTACAGTACCTTTAATTCGACTGATACACTTTGGTAAAAGGTTATAATATTTTTTACCTAAAAATATAGGGAAATGTCTATTTTTTTAGGCAATTTAAAGCATTGATTTATGTTACACTTGGTAAAGTACTGATGATTTAGGGTACAGTTGTTGGATTAACAGATCATTTTTTTTTAAATAATCCTTTATTCAGTTAGACACTACATATACATATTATAATTATATTGTAATACACTATTATACTATGTAGACATGAATTAAGTCAACTTTCTAGACAATGCATTAAACATTGCTACCGAAAGCATTTTAACTGAATTATGTAATAATAATCAAATATAATATTTTTAAACTTAATAAGTGTAATAATTGGTATTCAAGGGGGCGCCCCCGCGGGCGTCCAAGCACTTAGGCCACCAGATGGGCCCGTTGTGCCCCCAGATCGCTTCGGAGGGCGTCCAGAAGGCATGTGATGTGAATCTCCCAGTTGAAGGTTTCGTCTATTTGTACTCCCAGACATTTAATAAAACTCACTTGTTCAATGTCATTGAGAATGCTGTTAACCGTATCAAATGCTTTAGATAAGTCACGATACTTCAACACATTTTTTTTGTTCTTATCCAGGTTTATAAGTAACATCTTTAATAAACTTATACAAAGCATCAATGTATCAGGATTAGTATTTTTCTTAATACTGCATTTTAATATGTTCCTAGTTTATATATGGGATATCCAGGGCGTAAATTTTTCGAATTTTTTTGTTTATCACTCTTTCGTGACAACATTCCTATGTTATTTGATTTGTAATATTTAACAATATATATAGTGTCAAATTTGGATCTTCTGAGTGGTGGATATCAGGTGATTCATTCCAATCTTTTTTGGCTAGATTAAGTAGTTTTTGATAATTCATATTTTTAATACTTACATCATTTTTGTTTGATCACAGTGATTTATTTTTATTTATTGAAATACAAACCAACACAGGCAGGTGGTCAGTTATGTCATAGTCGACAATATACGGCTTAAAGCGAAGTAAATCTTTCTCCATTTTTGTTTTAAGAAAAACATGATTAAGACAAGTTTGTGAGTCAGCCCCTGTGAAATCCTCATATAATGAAAAAAATCTAAATCTGAAGTTTGCGGCCCTATAGTGTTTTTTTTAATTTAAAATTGGAATCTTCTGTTTCTAACACATAGTTCTTCATGATTATAAATTGTCACACAATAACGCGTTTTACCACAAACCGAAACTCAATTTTACGTACTCGACGCGCGTTTCGCCAACCAACTTGGCATCTTCATCTGAAAATTGACTTTCGGTTTGTGGTAAAACACGTTATTGTGTGTTAGTACAGTGCCGAAGGTTCCAGTCAAGAGTTTGATTATAAATTGTTATTTAAAACAGACGAAAATTTTTATTTTTGTTATTACGTTGTTTTTAGACCCTCATGATCCGGTCATCTGTGTGAGTCCTCTTCAAAAATATCTTTCCATTTCGAGTAAAAACCCAGTGAAACTGGTCAAAATTTTTAAATTGCATGGTTTTTCTAAATAATGTTTGGCTTTGTGGTGTTAGATCATTATTTATGTAAATTTCGTTTTTACCTTGAATACTAGTCTTCAACTTTTAATCCTATTGTTTCCCTGATTCTTTTGAAAAAGCGGGATTTCTGTTCTTGAATTCTGTTTTGCCAGCAAAGGTGCTGTCATCCTTAATTTGTTTTGCTTCTGAGACCAATTTTTTAATAGTAATTTTTTGTTCGTCAACATACTTCCTCAAATCTCTTATGGGATCAAAATATTCACTGAATAGATCAGAAAACGGACTTTATCCTCTTTTCATCCAATTTATCAATTGTTTTATTGCTATCAGATTTTTTTTGACAAGAAGCTATAAATTCCTTCGAATTCTCGCCCTGACCCTGACCTGCTTTGTACCCCCGTTTTTGTTCTAAATTTTCTTATGGTGCACTACGTTTTCCTGACATAACCTCGCAATGTGTAAGATATTAGCTAGACTTCACTTTCGGATGTTTTGGATACGAATGTAAAAATTTATTGTTACAAGAATTTAACGTTAGTCAAGGTTAGGAGAAATAAGTATACGGGTTTTTTAAGTAGGTGGCCAAAAATGTAAATGCAACGCGAGACGGAAAATTCAATAAATTACTTAATAAAAAAACATACATAACTAAGTATCTCAATAATTATCTAACCGATTCTATGGCAAGAGGCTAATTTAACTACAATTGGAATAATATAATTGCACTTTAATTGTCAATATTTTGATCAATAAATGTGCCATCCTAACTGCTATTCTTTTTTTTTTATTTAAAGTACGAACAAATCTTGTTTCCTATTTTTTCATTACTATCAATCAAATATTAGAAGAGGCAGTTACCTAACCAGAAAATAATACATAAAATAAAGGTCAGTCGAGTGAATTATAAAAAAAATTACTTTAGGTTCAAATTCAAATAAAGCATTGCTCTTTTTTCACTTACAATCATAAAGCATCTCCTCTTAATTAAAAAATCCTTACCGTTTTCTTTCATATTTTTCTACCATAAAATCTCTAATGTGTTGTTCGTCGCCCATATGGGTGGGCGCGCTCCCTTCGTACAAACCCAGCCACACCCTCCGGCAGTACTCATTTCCCCGGCCCCGAATAGTGTCTATTTCCTCGGGGGTAAACGTCGCCATGGAGATTGACTTTACCCTATGTGGTGGCGTAATGCCTCGCCTGAAACAAAAAAAAAATCAGCCCTCATTATTACCCCCTGAAACAAACAAAACTAAACTAACCAAAACACCAACTTAATAGTTTCTAGTAATATGCATTTACCGGATGCTTATTAAACATGTGCCAATACTTAAGGCCGTGAATCCCGCGCGCGATTAGTAAACTCGCTGCATTGTAGTGTTTGGTCAACATTTCACTATCTAGAGTTTTACATTACCAATACTTTTTCAGGAGTGTGGAAAATCTAGATATATACACGGCGACACAAGAATTGTATCATTACAACTTCCACAGCATCCACCATTATTTATGGAATTTGTAACATCGTTAACTTGACGCTTATCCACTGAGATAAAAAAGAGAATTATTGTGGAGAAATACATCAATCTCATTTTGAAAATGTTAGAAATGGAATTGATTTCAAGGTAATCTGGGTCCTTGTTAAATATTTAATTTTTAAATTAAATTTATTAAAACTGCTCACCAATATGGTAAAGGTAAGTTCCGTTAAAAATTGGATTCTTTTACATATTTGCGTCAGGTAGCGATAAAATTGTCAATCAATTATTCATTATTGACCCAACACATTACAGATTATAAGACTATTATAAATCTCACAACACCTTAAAGATAATATTCCTGATCATCATAGTTTTCGACTTACACTACGCTACACCAAAACAGTTTTAAACTTTGTTAAACAGAAATGATTTCAATTAATCTTTGATTAATGTATTTATTGTTACCTGCTAAAAGGGACGTATATATTTTTAACGAAATCATTTTCCACCACGCGTACGATGCTTGTAATAACCAAAAACAAATATCATTTGGCAAACCGACAATTTGGCATCTATTCCTAAATTTCAAGAAACGTTTGGTAAGTTGGCGGTTAAACGTCCTCGAAATCCTCGTTAAAACAAAAACGCCAAATAAATTCAAGTAGACTAAATAACTACGTCGACCAATAAATAACTATAAATTGGATTTCTGATAATGTTATTGTTAGTGGATAAGCGCTGTCTTCGGTTCCATAATATTCTCAATAGTACTTATAAAATTTATTGTCCAATTTACATTAGTTCGAGCGCATGTGCGTGTAAATAAATAAACGTAAAAGCGGCCGCCACCTCCGATCGGACTTTTATCTCTTGACCTCTGCGAATATCCCAACCACAACAAAAAATGCTTCCGCCTATGCACTTGATAAGGCAATGGAAAACACGTATATTAGTAGCGAAGGATTTTCTTCAAGATAACAAAATTTGCAAGTAAATTTCGCAAAATTATAAACACGATAGTCCTTTTTTTTGAGTTTATAATACCCGCTGCCAAACAAATATCGTGGTGGAATATTTCCGTTGTTGTCGAATGAAAAATTGACATAAGAATAAAATAAAGTTTTTGGCCAACAAACATTAGTATACCGGGTGATTAAAAAAACATGCTGTTTGTTATTTACTCGTAACAAGCCATTAAAACTACAACCTTTTTGATTCTTGAGTTATTTTCTTATCTCGGACGCTTTGATCACAATCAATTTAGTCCAAAAAAATGTACACTAAAGAAAATGATGAAAATCACCACCACCGTCTTGATTGCAGGCATGTCATTTTTTCCATAATTTTGAACGTTTCTTTTTTTTGGATATCGAATCTCCAGCCGACGGTTGACGCATGATTTTTTGAAGCACTCCGTATAATTTAAGGGACGTCCTTCGTTTAAAACTCCGTGAAATGCTTTGTGACTCTTGGGTTTAATCAACTATTTTGAAGTATATTAATCATGCCTGACCTCCGTCAAAGAATACAAAACTGTTGCCTTAGATTTATATTTGACAATTGACATTACCAACACATTTTAAATTATCTGTGTATAACGTGGAACGTGGCGCACAGATTTATTGTATGTATTGCATTTGATGTATTGAGAGACAGTTTACAGGGCGGAATAATTTGACGGATATGTACGGAAAACAGGGCATAGGATTGTATTAAAAATGTGGTTGCTTAGGATTTTGAACTTGTTCATTCAATCTACAATGTTTTCGATGAAGCAATGTTACCAATTTAATCGGAATAGGTCGCATAGATCACACAAACCTATAAAATGGGTATTTTGCGCAAAGCCGAATGCGTGACTCAAGAAGTTAATTTAGCGACAGCTCTGAGAATATTCCAGATCAATAGAGCAAGTCAGAAAAAATGGATAATCAAATTTTCAGAACAGTCTCATATTCCGAAAACAATTATTATTAATGTACCGCATAGTAAATGGCAAACGGCTACTCTCATTCAGTTCATTAACACAGAACAATACAGAAACGAAGCTCCCAGCCAAAAAGGATTTTTATTCTATATTTCTAAAAAAGTATATACAGGGGGCTTTAAAAAATAAACTCATGTATTTGTGATTCCGTTTTCTTCAGAACAACAAATTTCGAGATCTTTAGTTTTAATTAATTTTGAAAAGTAAAACTATTTCATATTTTCGAGAATAAAAACATAAAAGGAACCAAAAGATTAGAAACTTTAAGGCACAACAAAACTGTTCTTAATTTTATCAAATACTTTTACGTCAAAACTAGTTCAAGACATTCTAACCATTAACTGTTAGGCATAAACAATTATAAACAATTTGATATATGATTCCTTAGGGCGTAATAACAGATATTGAGAAAATAAGTGCAGCCTCGGAGCTAGACACAACATACGCGAGAATAAATAATCTTTGATTTTATCACAATTATCAAAACTTGGCTGCTCAGTCTATATTAATCCATTAGATAGATTTATTTGCTGCTCTTTAAACTTTGATTCTAGCTAATTGTAGTTATAAAGGTCTAAGCATTTAACACAACACAAATAAAGGTCTCAATCTAGATAACATTTAATATACTTCATGAAGAAATAATAAAAAATGTTCGTTCGTTACTGTTCGTTACATATAAAAAAATCTTAAATATAAAAATTTATATAGAAAATTTAGGGGTACACCTCCTTTGCCTTGGTTCTCCTCAGGTTGAAAGATATTTTTTCTTATTAAATCCGAAAGATATATGACGCCTTTGGGGTCCTACTTAAGTTTGTATTCTTGCTTTGCATTTCGGCACAAGCGAAGATTATCACTGCCGGCACAGTAATGGCATATTTTTTATATATTTAGTATTTTTTCATCAATAATCTCATAGATTTTTTTATTATATATTCATCATCCTCATACTTGTGGGTAGAAGTCAAAGAACACTTCATAACAAGTGTGTATTGAGGTGAACTTTACCTTTTCATTGAAGTTAATGTATTATGTTTTAATTGCGCATTACTTAAAAAAATATTATTACTAGATTATTGTTATTCTTATAATCAGAACTACAGTACAAATTAACGTCCTGTGGAAGATAAATCATATCGCATAACATAAATAAAGAACAAATAAGGTAGTCGTTGGTGTAAATTGCACGCCTCAACCGAATAGAGATTAACTCGTTTGAAATATAGCCATCATAATATACAGGGTATTATGGAACTCATATGATATATCTTAGTATGTGAATCTGTACCTAACCCTGGCGCATTCTTTATATCTATTTTCCACGTACCATCTTTGTTTATTTTTAAAAGTGATCGCGAATTTCACACATTATTACCAAAATGAAAAATTCATAACCTACGAAGCTGAGGTTTTTGATAATAAGCAATTGTAAATGATATATAAGATTAAAATAATGGAATAACATTTAGTAACACACAACTTTTGTAATTTATTAGAATAATATACTATGTGACTTTGATAAACGTTATTTTAGTCACGAGTTCATTAAACACTCGCTCCGCTCATACCAAATAAACTCGTGACTTAAAAAGTTTACCAAACGTACTGCATATTATATTTTTTCTACGAATTTTAGTTTTTGGGTACATTTTTTCAAAACAATACGAATACTTTCACTGACATAACCGTCAGAATTAACAAATGTCAAAATTCAAACCGTGCAGTAAAATCTCCGAAAACATCCGATTGCTCCCAAACTCGTGCGGTAATATCCCGGAAATGTCCGAACTGGCTCGGATCCGTAGGACAAAATCCTCACGTGTTAAAGTGACGCTTCCCGCGCGCTAAATCGGTGTATAATTAGGTACTTTACAGAAGGAGGTAGACAAAATTAGTTACCAAACGTCACTAAAATGTAATGCAATGCAAGTAGCTTCGTGATTCCTGGGCCGCAAGAGGTCCCAGGACAGGAAAAAAGTTAGATCAAGCTAATATAAGAATTTCAATAAATGAAGGATATTATTTTTTTTTTAATTTAAATCACATTTTCTTCAATTCCCAAGCTATATTTCGCAACAAAATGCGTAATAATAAATTTTGTTTTCGTAGCACATTGTAGGTATTTCTTTTTTTTTAATTCTTTTTTACGACTTAACTTAACATTCAATGAAATTCCATTACCGTACATACCAATTCTTATCAGAATTTAAGGCAGACAAGTTTAAGTACTTAAAAAGACTGATTTGAAATACATGGGTAACTCAGAGAAGTTCGTTTTTAAATTAGGACACTTCCATGGAAAATGTGAAAATGTTCATTTACCAAATATAGATAGGGTAAACTTGCCCAAATCGTACCAGTTTTGAACAACTTGTTGTAGATTTCTCAAAAATGCATCAAACACTATGAAATTTTGGTTGTTAAAACTTTATTAATAGAAGAAACATTAGTCAAGTGTTAATACTTAAAGAAACCCTGTTTTACTACTCAAAATAAAATATTTAAAAAATAATGAAAAAAGTACGATTTAAGACCATATTCTTAACTCGTACCGCACTATTCCTAAATCGTACTTCTGATGCAATGTTGGCGAGTGTAAGAATATGTGGCTTTTCCTACACCTGCACAGTTGTCGTGCACCCATATGTTGCATTTGATGCATTGAATCATTGATTTTTCTTCATCTTTGCGGCATAAAATGCAATACCAAGTATTAGAAGTCTTTTCTA